ATAGTAATCAACTCGTGTGAGAAAAAAAATAAGAGGCTTTCGACGTAGACTTCCGCAAAACAGTCGGCTAACCCACAAGAAACCGTGTTTGCCTTTCGCGGCCGCAAATTGTCGTGCAACTGTGCTAATTAATGTCATCAGGCTCCTTTCGCGTTACCGGTTCACACACGATTGCGTCACGATTGCGTGCCAGTTTCTTGCGGCCTTGAAAACGCGAGGTCAATGTCACGTGGAACTCTTCCGTTTATTTATTTATATATTTCCTTCTTTCTTTTTGCTGCTTGCGTTTGCAGTTTGCCACCTTTAATGTAACTTATGATTCAAGAGAGAGAGAGAGAGAGAGAGAGAGAGAGAAGGCATTCAAGAGTTGCTTCTTCAACTACTCTCAATTTTCTGCCAACAACAACGCGCCGTATACTCGACGGGATACAAAGCGGCACAGTATGAAACGTTAATCGTTAATACCGAACACGTGCTGCTCACTCGAAGGAGAATAATTTTCTGCATAGACGGCACTGATAAGAGACGGATCGTATGTGAAAGAACGTCGTTGTAACTCTTCGTCAAGCAACACATTAACCGATTAAGCCTCGAATTTAAGCTCTGTACACACTTGTAGATATAACGCGCAGTTGCTCGGTCAGTAACATCGAGAGTTCGCACGGAGTTGCTAATATACATAATAAATTAATTTTAATCTGTACGACTCGCAAATTTGCACGCGTTATTTGTTCAGAGTTCATCAAAATTTGCCCAATGATAATTTAAGCATGTAAATTCATGCTTAAATCCTCTATCAATATACAATTTTATCATTTTTTCATCAATGTATGGGTATACCAATTGCGTATTTTAGGTTTCCGAATACAAAAACCCTTTGTATTTTCCGAAGTAGCAAACGGATGTCATTAGACATTAAAATGACGTCATTTAGACGTTTAATGACACCAGTTTGCTACTTGGAAAAATGCAAAGGGTTTTTGTATTCGGAAACCTTATAAAATACGTAATTGATACCCATACATTGATGAAAAGATGAAAAAATTGTAGATGGGTAACATCATTTTGACATCATTAGACGTCAAAATGACATTATTTTGAGTTTAATGACGTCAGTTTGCTACTTGGATTATTTCGGGCGTGATTGTTCTAATCACGTCAAAAATTGTATTTTGTTTCGGGTGGAGAAAAAACCCAGGTAGCAAACGTACATCATTTTGACGTCAAACTGATGTCATTAGACATCAAAATGACATCAAATCGGGTTTTTCTCCACCCGAAACAAAATACAAAGGGTTTTTGATGTGATTAGACGTCAAAATAACGTCAGTTTGTTACTTGAAGAGTTGCGACACGTTTTTAACATTTAAAATTGCTTTGGATATTGACACAGAAAGGTTAAACAGTTAACTATGATGCAAATTAAGCTGAAAGTAAATCTTAAGGCCGCGATGCTAATAAGGTTATCGCTATATCGAAGGAACTGATGGAAATGCCAAGGAGAGATATGCCACGATGATATATTCCGCATTTCGTCGAACTGGAAAGTACGGCGGCACGAATTGCCGCAATTTTAACGCGACCTTTGACCCGCATCAACTGGAGAAGACGAATGTGTTTTCGGATCGCGACTCGGAAATGTGTTTTCCGCGTCAGCGCAGTAAAATATGTTGTATTCATGTCACGCGCCTGATATGCAATTCAAACAAAGTTCCGTCTCACATTGCTTGCGTTGCAACAATTTGCGCGCTTGTAGCATTTATGAATCATTTGCCGCGTCACAACATCACCTACGTTACATAATAAAAGATCACGTGTCGCGCCGCGATAGCGAAGCAAAGCTCTGCGCACGTGGGAAACACCTTCGAAATTGACACCAGAATTTTTTTCAATGCTGGCGACAATGTGACGATTCACGTTACGCGGAGACACTTAATTGACATTTAATTAAAAATAATGTCTATCGTCTTAAATTATACAGTCATTTAATTATTAAGCAATTACAGCAAAGAAAAATCGAAAGATTTGAACGGGTGTTCACGGAAATATATTCACATATACAGGATGTATCATAAATCACGCCGCATCTCTAATTACTCTGGAAATTCCTCTGAATTCGTCAAGTCAAAATAAGTCGAATATAAAGAATGACAAAATTACGTTTGAGCTTTTTTTTAAATGTTACAATCACAAATTTATTTTTATTTAAGTTGAAAACCAAAACATAAAATAAATTAACTAATTTAATAAATTAATTAATTAATTAATTAAATTATAATATTATTTTACATATATTATTAACACATATTATTTTGAATAACTCTTTAAAGAATGCTCAAATGTAATTTTATCATTCTTCATTTTCGACTTATTTTAACTTGACGAATTCATTCTCCAGAGATGCGACGTGATTTATAATACACCTTGTATTTATGAACTACTCCAATTTTAGCAAAGAAAATTTAGCCAGGAGCATCTCGCGTGCCAGAAGATCGATTTTGCTAGGCAACCGCGAGAAGAAGACCGTCGTTAATTTGCGTTATCTTCATAGTCCACGCCGAATACACGTGGTCGTGGACCCGAATAAAGTAAAGTTCGTCGTTGTGACATTACACGTGGCAACGGTACAAGACGTCAAGGTCTTCGTCGAGTCGGCCTTCGCCGTGGCTCAACAGACCCAACTATCGAATGTCTGAAATCGTAGCTAAGTAAGTGATCATAGGTTGTTTCATAGTCGCGATTACGTCGTTTTTCTCTCTCTCTCGCGTGATTATAAAATTCGAATAAATTACTGGGTGCGATCTGATCTTCCGAGATAAAAAATGCACACTTGAATATGATTGTAAAATTATTTTTCTTTTTCTCAGAAAAAAAATTAGATTACTTTCCCAATATAACGATAACTACCTAAAATAATTTTTGGATATGTCTAAGTGTTTAAAAACAATATTGAGCAACAGCAAAATATATCCAGTAAATTTGATTTCCCGTTCTTTATGTACCTTTTTCTTGGAAACCATCAGTCGAATTGTTATCGCTTTTTATCTATTCCAAGATAAATAAATTATGATTTGATCGCTCGGTTTAAAGAAAGTGTGAATTCATCAAAAGTCGACTTCATTCGAATCGTAATAAAAATCCAGGAAAAGCTTACTCAGCGAGAAGCATCGATCAAAGTGTAACCAACATATGAGAAAAAAAATATATAAAAATAAAACATAATATATATATATATATCAAATATATAAAAAATAATATAAAAAAATAATATAAAATAATAATCTTTTTCGAAGAAAAAGGAACATAAACATTGGCAATTTTACTTTACATTAGATTATGCAATTGCGATCTCCTTATTTAATTCGCATCGGACAAACAGGAAATTTCTATATAGATTATAAGATGATCTAATCAAGAGTAAGAAAATTGCACTTATCGACTAACAATGAATATATTATGATGTACAGTTATGGTGCAAAATAATAGCACCGGTTGAAAAAATGAGGGAAATTTGTATGTTCCCTGCACCATGTTTAACTGTCTTGACTATATGTATACCTATCTAAGATTAAATTCTGACTTTTGAGGTCCTCGAACAAACTGACGAATATACCAGGAAATTCTTTAATAATCACTTGTCGATGGTAGAGAAAATATTCCTCTCATTTTTTCAACCGGTGCTATTATTTTGCACGTAACTGTATATTAATTTTATTTTCTTACGGAAAAAAAAACAAAATTATAGTTTCCTGTAAAGGAGTTCTACGTGTTTCTAATTTCTCGTAAACTAAACAAGACACATGAAAGTGGCTATAGAGTCGCAGTAGGGGCCTTGAGAAAAATTACGGTGGCGCGTTCAGTGATAAAAGTATACGGCATGACACGGGCGGATCGATGCAACTTTTTCCACTTACGCGATTATCTCGTTTCACCATTCACGATAAACGTAGCAAGTTCAAAACCCGCTAAATTGGATAATAACGAGGAAAAATCGTTCTCTCAGAGCCTTCTTTTTTTTTTAATCTGCGTTTTCGCGATAAACTTTATAAGAATATCGATGATGGAGACATTTAATGCGATGCAATGAGAACTGCATCGAAATTTAGCTATATACATATGTGCAATATGATATTTGTTAATTAATAAGTACAGAGTGATATAGCTTCATCAAGTATTCAAATTCGGAATGTGACATAATTGTGATTACATTTCCAGTATCACTTCGATTTGTCTGTGCATCGCGTTCAACATAAATCATACGATTGACGCATCCTGTTCTGTTCTATATCACACAGAGTACAAGCGAATAATTATTATCAATAATAACAGTTAACATTACGCACTATCGTGTTTCGCTGTGCAATAATGTATATATAATAATATTTCCAAAAACATGAAATATTATAAAATAATACAAATAGTATATCTGTATGTATATATATATTGTATTTTTTCGCAAGAAAATCGAATTATATAATTTATTTTTTTTTATAATTTATAATTTTTTATATTTCGCGAAGAAACATAATATAATATATAAAAAATATATAAATAATTTATTTTTTTTATAATTTATAATTTTTTTATTTCGCAAAAGAAACATAATATAATATATAAAAAAATATATAAATAATTTATTTTTTTATAATTTATAATTTTTTTATTTCGCGAAGAAACATAATATAATATATAAATAAATATAGTATAAATAATATATATATATTATAGCATTATATTTATGTATATATATGTATATATTATGTATATATATTATATTATGTTTCTTCGCGAAATAAAACAAATATAACCTCAACAAATGTCACTTTGAAATAATTTCAAAAAAATTAAATCGCGATCACGTGATCAAGCGAGATCGAGAAAAATGCATTATTATTATATATATATATATATATATATATATATATATATATATATATAAATATTTGCGATTTGCATTATCGCGTGATTACGAAAGAAAAAATTAATAGACGTTCACTCACCCTGGAGATGCGCAGGGGTTGATGTGTATCGCATCCGCCGTGCATGCGGAAGCCCCAGGGGGATCCGCCGAAGAGGGTGACTTCTCTGGCGCTCATCCCGCGTCGCTGTAGCCGGCACCAGCACGCACGTCGTCCACACGCGCATCCGTTTTTTCCCGCGTCCGCGTCTTATCTACGCATCGCAGAATCGAGATACGAGATATAAATCGAGAGCGAGACGATCGAAGATTACGCGTAGTATATATATATATATATATATATCGTTATTATCGCGGAACTGTCAAAATTTCACGTCGACGAAGGAATTAAACGGAGATGCGCCGGAAACACCGGCTACGAGATGAGCCGCGTCCTCGACGACGACGACGTGGACGCGATGACGCCCACTGACGGAAAACGCGACGTTAAATCTCGCGCGCGCGCACACGCGCGCGATCCGCACTCGACCGTGGCTCGCGTTGGACTGATGGCGCGCGTCCTCCCCCTCCCCCGCCCCCTTTACTCTCGACGCGCGCGTAGTATCCGCGCGTGTGTACTCTTCCCCCTCCCCCTCCCCCCCCTCGCTTCTCGTGACCCCTCGCGGCGTGTTTCGTACACTCGCGGCGTCCTACTCTTCCCTTCAGGGTCACTTCTCTTTATTTTATATATTTTATATATTTTACATATCTTATATATTTTATATATATATGTATATATATTCTCTTATTTATTTTATATATTTTATATATTTTACATATCTTATATATATTTTATATATATATTCCCTTGTTTATTTTATATATTTTATATATTTTACATATCTTATATATATTTTATATATATATTCCCTTGTTTATTTTATATATTTTATATATTTTACATATCTTATATATATTATATATATATATATATTCCCTTGTTTATTTTATATTTTATATATTTCTTTATTTATTTTATATATTTTATATATTATATATTCTCTTTATTTTAAACGCTATATAAAGAAAATTTATTGAATTCGAATAAATATATATTTATTTCAATACTGCATGTCTAATAAATCATTTATTTGAAACCAATAATATTGATTGGATGTGAAAAATATTTATTTGACATATGAAAATCCTTTTCAAAACAGACAAATATTTGTTTTAAATTAATAATTTATTAAGCATTATTGAAATAAATATTTATATCAATTTTAAAATTTTTTAGTGTGTAAAATAAAGAGAGGGAATATATAATATATATATATATATAGTCTTGGTTAAATTTTTCGCGAATTATTCAACAGTGTTAGATTCTTTTTATTGTTTATTTATAAAATACGCTTGCGAAATTTCGATTTACGGGGAAATTACAGATCCCGATTCTGACCTTCATCCTTATTCTACACATTTTTTACGCGCTCACCTGAGGTTATGATTATCCATGTATGCGTTGTCCTCCCACACGACGATACGGATCTCTCGGGGCATTTTCGCGTAATCAACGCTGACTGCTGCTCCTTTTTCAAGGAGCGTCTAGAATGAAAGGAGAATTCGTTGCACTCTTTGTGTTGGCAGTTCTATGATGAATTCACTTCTCTGCTGCAAAGAGTCTTTTTCTCCATAATATGTCTTAAAAATAAAAATAAACATTTTTTGTTTAAGTGTTTGTAACGTGAAATAAAAGACATATATATATATATATATATATAATATATAAACTCTGTTTCATAAATGTATTAATATTAATACATTAAATAAAATTAAATATAATATATAATTAAAAAATATGAAATAAAATATAATAAAAAAATATAAATTAAAATATAATTAAATATAATTATTATATATATTTCATATATATATATATATATATAGTTATTTTCATATGTAAATATTATAATCTATATTTTTAAGTACATACGCGTATATATACTTATTTTATATATTATAAATATATAAAATAAGCGATGAGAAATCGACGCCATAACTTTATAAGAGAAAAATCGATTTCATGTATGCACACGTTTTTCATTAATATCAATAAATTTTCCTATCAATCAAATCAAGTTTAGAGCTTCTTGATTATTACTATTATAAATATTTAAAAATGAATACCTTGTGTAAGTGTATAGAGATTGTAACAGACATATTCTCGAGTTTTTCTTCGCACGAGAAGGACACTGCTGCGTGAAGATGCGACTATCAAATGGCGCTAAAAATGTGGAAAGAAATATGGCGGCATTTTGACAAAGTGATGACATCTGTAGGTGAATTCCTGAAACTAAATTATCGCTTCATTCTCTAACCAACATGTGATGAATGGAAATGAAAAAAAATATATTATATCCTTTCCCTTTTTATTATTAAACAATTAAATTCTAAAAAGGAAGAGAGATAGTATAAAAAATTGCTTTTAAACTCAAATATAATAATTTTTAAAAATTTAATAAATCCAAGAGTAAAATTCGAAACCTTGATAGAAAGAATATGGCAGCTCTCTCTCGGGACACGTGTTTCTGTATAAAAGAAGTGTTTCTGTATAAGCATTCGTATTTTTACTTATCGGATTTTCAACGAATGCAACAACTACATTTAGAAAAACAGATCTAATTGTTAAGACGTAACAATATATATTTTTATTACAAGCAATTTATTTAAATAACGTAATCATGTCTGCCGAAAATGCGAGTAAAAAATTTGCCGGGCAAAAATCAGAACAAGAAGGTAATTAATTGTTTATTACAGCAGTAAACATTTGCGAATAATTCTAGTTAACGAAAGGAAATTATTTTTGTTAAGGTGGTGACCAAAATTCTAAAGAGGCTTTAAGATGCAATTTCCGAAGTGGCTATAAACGCAATCATGAGCAATTACCAAGAGTAAATGCAAAGAGGACCAAATTGGAGATCGGCAGTAGACTAAAGGAGTGTGACTTAGGGATTACTGAGTACATCGGCAAGCACCCTGGCTTTTCTGGAATAATTAAGGAGCGATACACTGATTTTCATGTTAACGAGATAGATCTCGATGGACAAGTGGCCAAGCTGACTCACCAGAACATTCCAAATGATCCGGATAATAATGTAAATATCGAGGATCTAAAAACAAAGGTTTCTCCAGAAGTATGGGATCAACTTCAAGTTCTGAAGGAAAATCCTTCGACTATACAGATCGATGTAACAAATATAGACAAAGCTGAGCGCAGGATTATTCATACAATCGCACAAAATTTGGCAAATGTTATCAGCCAAACAAAAGATGAAGACAATAAGAAATTTATCACAATTGTCCCAAATACTAAAAACATTAAATATGGTGAGTTATCAATGTTTATACAGGGTGTATACTACCTGGAAAAATCTAGAAAACCTGGAATTCTCAGGGAATTTTTCTACCTTGAAAAGTCTTGGAATACTTATGGAATTTTTTTCAAAATTACCCTTTTGATTTATTTTCAAATATACCTTTAAAGAATAAAATTCATTAGATTTATATAAAGTATATTAAAATATATTCTAATATGAAATATAATATTATATTATTATATTAAAAATAATACTTTAATTTTACTTGGAATTGTGAACAAAAGTACACCTGGGAAACCATGGAATTTATTTATAAGATTTAAGTATGCACCCTGTTATATTAAACATCTATATTTACATTTATATTTCTTTTTTGTTCTATAACAGATCACAACATACGCAAAGACACCAGAATAGATTGGAAGAAACGCGATGGCGATTATTGTCATTTTCTGTTGCACAAAATGAATATGGATACAATCGATGCTTTGAACCGATTAGCCTCAAATATGCGAATACGAGTTAACAATTTTGATTACGCTGGTACAAAAGATCGTCGAGCGTGGACGACTCAGTGGGTCAGTTTGTGGAAGGTGGATGCACGCAACATATTGAGAGCTTGTTCAAGTATACGCGGCTTATATGTAGGAAATTTTAAATACACTAAGAACAAGTTGAAATTGGGCATGCTAAGTGGCAATCAGTTTAAAATAGCATTAAGAAACGTTTGTGGAACAGATGAAGAGATCGAGCAAGCAATGACATCATTGCGCGACAATGGCTTCATTAATTATTATGGTTTACAAAGATTTGGTACAGTAGCTTCTATACCTACGCACGAAATTGGGAAACGTTTACTTCAAGGTAATTATTGTTCTCCGTATTATCACATAGCACTTTGATTTAATATTATTTAATATTAAATCACCAAGTAGCAAACTGATGTCATTAAACATCGAAATAACATATGCTCGCTATCTGGGAAGTATAAATATATTACAAGAAATTTTTCCAATTAGGTAAATTTCATGAAGCGATTGAGTTAATTCTGAAACCACGGCCTGGAGAACAGGACACTGAGTTGGCAGAGGCTAGACAAATTATGCGTCTTCAAAAGATGCTCATGCTGCTTACTCTAAGATTCAAAGAATCGACAAAATTGAAGCCCGACTTTTGAAAGGTCTACAAACATCGGGGCAGAATAATCCTTTAGGCGCTCTTGATTATATTCCGCGAAACATTCGGTTAATGTACATCCATGCTTATCAAAGCTTCGTTTGGAATCATATTGTGTCGAGAAGAATAAAACAATTCGGGACAAATGTAATTGTGGGTGATCTAGTTTATAACAAGAATATAACTGATGAAACTATGTTAAATACTAGTGACGATACTGAAGAAATCAATATTGAGCCAGCAGCAAATAAACCAAGTGAAGAAAGTTCAGAGCAAAATTTGTCAATAGTAAGAAGTCTTACAGAAGAAGATTTACCGAATTACACTTTAGCCGATGTAGTTATGCCTCAACCTGGATGGAAAGTTACATATCCATCGTATGCTAAAGCTTGGTACGATGAATTTTTAGCAAAGGACGAATTAACTACTGATCTTAAACAAAACAATAAGTAAGTATTTTTAATCTGCAACTTTAACTTTAAATTTTAATTAAATTATAGCAAATTGTTATTATTGTCTGCTACCTTTTCTAGAAAATACAGTTTGAGTGGTGCCTATAGAAAAATATTACAAATCCCGACGAAACTATCTTGGAAAATTATGAATTATGAACAAAAGCATGATAATCTTATTCTCGCAGATATTGACGAAATGAGAAAGCATGTAACTCCGCAGAATAATCCAAGTAAATAAGTTCTTTTCACGTTTATACAAAATGTTTATTTCAAGAGTTTGTATTACATTTATATTATTTTCAGATGGAAAGAACAAGGCATTAATCATTGAAGTATGTTTAGAATCCAGTACTTATGCCACAATGACACTTCGTGAAATTTTGAAAAAAGATACTTCTGCAGAAACACAGGTCGCTTTATCTGCTTCTTACAATTCAGAAAATAGTCCAGTATAAGCATTATTAATAAATAGTACAAATTCAACAGAAATTAAATAAATATAATAATGCAAAGAAAAATTATGTTAATTTCCAAAACAAATTCATTGATGCAAAAATAAAAAATTTAGACAAAATATTTTTAAAATATGCTAATATTTTTGTGAAAAAACACCTTATAAATATAATAAATCATGAATATAAATATACATATGTGTGTATTTCTTCATTTAAACAAAACCACTAGAAAGTTACTTGATCCAGGGACAAAAAAAATTTGTTTAATGAATAAGACTAATTTAATAAAAATAATTCCTGTATTTATAAACAAGCAGCCATCAAACCTGCTACATTTTCGAAATCAATCTTTTCAGTAATATTTTTAGTCTTGATATTTTCATCTTGATTTGCAATAAAAATGATTGTCTTGCTCTCTTCCTTCCAACCATACTTTTAACCCAGTGCTTCAGTGTTGCATCTACAAAAATATAATAATACATTTTTATTATCCTGCAATATTAAAAATAAAAAATTCATTAACGTACCATCTACACCACCAAGCAACTGCGCTAGCAATCCTTTATCTATCGTTTGAAACGTGATACCGACTACATGGCACACAAATTTTCTTATTGAGTCCTGGAAACCTACAATTCTATCGCACAGCTCAGACATTGATAATACTCTGTCCCAAAAATGCTGAAAATCACATCGCTCCAAGATGTCTCCCAGATACATGATTTGATTAATGGGGCTTTCTGACATCTAGAAATTTATAATAAAATATATAAATATAAAACGTTCATAAAAAAAGAACATTGCTTTATAATTGAATCAAACTCACTAGTTTCTCGCTGAGCAAACATTTGCATAGCACAAAGTCAGTGTGCGGAAGATTGGTCAAAGCCTTCAGTAGTATCTGACACGTAATATCCATATTGAATCGATGCGGATTTAATTGGTAGAGCTTCAGAACGGCCAGGTTTGCCTCCAAATCATAAGCATTCTCCCTCGACTGTATTTCCACATACTTTTCCAAAGTTGTCAAATTATCTGGATTGTACCTGAAAACATATATATTTCAGTGATAATATATAAAACATAATTAATTAAAAATTGGAACAATAAATAAACATATTCCATGAATATTTCTAATGAATTTTAATTCTGTATCTCAGTGCAATGACATATTTTTAAGAAATTGATTAGAAGTTCTGTTAAAAAAATGATTTACGAAATAAATGAATACCTTTCGATGCCTTTGAGCATTCCAGCCACAGTCTGTCGCATCGCCTCAGCCATTTTCGTCGATAAAAAATCTCAAATTGTAATAAAAATTAATTATTGTCGGCGTGACAAGAGCGTGAGATTAACCTCAAACACACAAGACCATAGAATAAAATTATAGAGAGGTACAAAATGAAAGAAATTTCGGTCCAGATTTATATAGATAGAGATATAAATTAATATGTTAATTATATTATATCTTTATTTTTGCTATATAGATATAAAAATAGAATGAAATAATGCGATTTACGTTAATACATCATTATTCAATGGAAATTAAAGATAAAATGCGACGCTTTTGGATTTTTTGTATCGCTATAAATAATAAATGAAATACATTAAAAGACAGAGCAGAACGTTGCTTATTGTGAAAATATTTCCGATATTTTCAGATATTCTGATTTTACGCAATCTTTATGAGAATTCTGACAATTTTTATTTTTCATCATTATAACATATATAAAATACGCATATATATATATATATATATATATATAACTTTTTCAAAAATTATATGTATTTTATATGAGATAAATAAATGTTTTTTAATTATAAAATTAACTTTATTGTTTTTTAATTATAAAATAATAATAAAAAGAAAAGGGGAAGAAGAGGAGGAAGCGTGTACGAAAATCCTTTTTGTGGTGGAACTGTACTGATGTTGTACTGGTATCGTACTGATACTATCTTAGAACATATATACCTGGAAGGGGAATTGCTATTGTTCTCCATGGTAAAAATCTGTGTCACCCAAAAAGTTGGGTGCGAGAGAGAAAGATAGCTTTTAACCTATGCTCGCAATGCGCAAACGTAGATGACGTCACGGTGACGTCACGCTCACCGCGCCGTTTGAAACTGGAAATGTAATTGGTGCTTTCGCTAATTCGCGTTTGCGCATTGCGAACGGAGGTAACACTCTACCCTTCTCTTTCCTTAAAAACGTGGTTCTCTCTCGCACCCAACTTGGACACAGTTTTGCGCTCCTTATTCCCCTTCCATATCTATATGTTCTAAGGGCCCAAAACGGAGTGCGCATGTGCGTTGCCCAGTATCGCCATCTAAACTTCTCTCTCTTTTCATCTTTTATTTTCCGTTTTGTCACACTCAGGCCGGCGTCCCATGGAGCGGATTATGCGGAAGCGGAACCAGCGGATCGCCAATCACGGAATCGTTCCGATAGAACTTAACGATGAGCTCCATCGGAACGATTCCGTGATTGGCGATCCGCTAGTTCCGCTTCCGCGTAATCCGCTCCATGGGACGCCGGCCTTAGGGTTGCAAGAGATGGCGACGACTAGTAATTTATAGGTATGCGCTTGTTGTGTTGGATTGGTCGCGTTGCTAGTCCCTAGACTAGTTACAACTAGAATATTCCCTATGCCGGTATTACTAACGATAAATAATAAAAACGTCTAATTCTAAGTTAAATCATTCTCAAAATAGTTAATTATATAGGTTCTCGCAAGAAATGATGTTAGCGCGAAAAAGGGGCTCTTAATAATATTGATATATATATATATATATATATATATATATATGTATATATATATATAAGCTTCAAAACCTACAGCTAACATTCTTTTTTAATTTATATCTTGTATGCATAAATAAATGTTTAAGTAAAATATATTAATTCAAAATTGGCGCGTAAACAACTTCCGGAATTTGGATAAATATGGCGGATTGTTTAACTAAGTGAAACTGGTGTCTGAAAGGTCTGAAGTTAGCGATATGACAACAAATTATCGAGATATAGGAGCTGAAAATTTGAATATGTATGTCATAAAACGCTGATATATTAATTATATGTAACGAAATAATTATTTCTCGAAATATTATTTTCAGAATCAAGTAATAGCATTTGAAAAATATGGCGAAGCATCATCCAGATTTGATTTTCTGTCGTAAACAACCGGGAGTCGGTAAGTCGAGAGGTTATGTCTCCTAACCTTATATCTTTGACAGTTTTATATTTATTTATTATTTAATTTATTTTATTTTATTATTCAATATATTATTTATTATTTAATTTATTTAATTATTATTGTCCGATGTTTTTTTAGCTATCGGTCGACTTTGCGAGAAATGCGATGGCAAGTGCGTAATTTGCGATTCCTATGTCAGACCCTGCACCTTGGTCAGAATTTGTGACGAGTGTAATTACGGTTCTTATCAGGGACGATGCGTGATATGCGGAGGTCCCGGCGTATCGGACGCGTATTATTGCAAAGAATGTACGATACAAGAGAAAGATGTAAGTTTGCGCTGAAAAAGAGAACATTATATAGGATAGATTTGTAAATTCTCCTGTATTAAATATTGTACATTTCAATATTTTCTTGTTTTTTAGAGAGACGGCTGTCCTAAAATAGTCAATCTAGGCAGTTCAAAGACAGATCTCTTTTACGAGAGGAAAAAATATGGATTCAAAAGAAGATAATCACAAGCTATTCAATATTTCTTTACATGGTTTTTGTTAAATGTATCATTGAGCATCAGGTAACTTATTGTTTTTACAAAAATATAACTATAGTAAATAATACATTTGCATTATGCAGTATTACAATTATAGATATTAATTTTATAATAAAACAAAAGTCTGAACAATGCTCTGTAAACTTAATTAGTTGGGATAATTTTGACAAAGTAAATTTTAATGTCAAAATTGATTAAATATCTATAAAAGCATCTTCAATGCAATGTATCTATAAAAGCATCTTCAACGCAATGTATAATATGATATAAAAGTATATAATCATGGAATACATCTTTTATTATAGAATTGTTATGTTAAAATTAACGGCGGTTCTTCTGATGGTGGTAACTCATTAGTTTCTTGTGTCTCAACAATTTGTCTTTTTATAATATTCCCTTTCTCATCCACTTCGTCAATAGATATTAAAATATTAGATATAACAGGCATAGATTTTCCAACATCACTATCTGCTATTTCTTCTTGTAAATCTTGAATGGTTTCTGTCTCCTCTGTATTGTCTTCAACAATCTAAACATATGATTTTAAATTTAGAACAAAGTCTCTCGAATAATACTTAACTTAAATTACTGTAAAACTCACTTTTATTTTTGTTAATGATGTAGTTTGACTCAATTCCAGCTTGTATTTTTTGTTCGATAAGTTTGCCTCTTCAACAAGCAACTCATTCTCTTCATCTACAGTCTCATATCTGACCATTTGAAGTCTGTAGCATCCGTCCTCATCCTGTGTATAATGGAAGCGTTTGTGTCCACTTGGCAATTGCAATTGATGAGTTTCTATGAGATGTTTGGTCAATCTATAACTCTTCCGGTATTTGATAGGACATTCATGACAGCAGTACCATCGCACCGCTAAACCGTGTACTCGTTCTACATGCCTATAACAAATTTCACAATTGCAATAAAACATTAATAGATGAAACAATCTTGTTATTGAAAATCTTACTACCTATCCAAGGTATAAGCTCCTTTGCACGTATAAAGGCATCCTTCAAATTGACAAGAAAAATTCGGGCCATTAGTATGAACAGTCATGTGAGAGTCGAGATCCTGTTGCGATTTTGCAGCATGCGAACACAATTGGCAAGGAAACGTTCTGGTCGACACATGGCGATACCTCACGTGTTTCGCCAAACTCGCTGGCGATTCACAACTCATATCGCAAAGGGTACATTTGTAATTAAACACATGGGATCTCATATGATCCCGTAAGATTTTCTCAGTGGGATAAAACTTATTGCAGTGCGAACACTGAAATCCCTGTACTGTAAATCATTCAATTTATCAGAAAAAGATATATAAGAGAAAAAAAAATATATATATATAATTTAAATGAGATTAATTAACCTTCCAAAGGAATTTGTCGCTGACAATGCGTATGAAATTTTGTTTTGGAGGCAAATGTGGCACCACAGTCTGGACACGCGACTATTTTTTCTTTGGTATGACATTTCATGTGATCACGAAGTTTGTACAAACTAGGATATTTCCCGTTGCATCCTGTCCACTTGCACTGAATTCCATCCTTAACTCTATTGCCACGTGGACAATCTGTCATGTGTATAGTCACGTGATACAGATACATTTGATAGTTTTTGAACACTTTCAAACATTCTTCCCATCTGCACATATGTGGAGACGGTGAATCTATAATGTTCCTCCATTCTGGATCTCTGCGGCATCTCTATAAGAATATAATATTAATTTAATAAAATATTTTTTCAGTAATTATTATTAAAAATTAATCAATATGTATTTAACATTGCTACTTACAGGAAGCTTAGTTCGTCCACGAACATTGGATCCAATACACTTCAGCTTGGTATGATAGGCATGGTAATTAACATGCTGCACTATCTCATCGCTTACATCGGTGCAGTAAGAACAGTCCTTCCACTGACACACATAAACTTCATTATCATCCTTCATGCTTATCTGTATATTTGGTATGTGACTCGAGACATGCCTCATAAATTGATCCATATAATTGCCGCGGAACGTGCACGCCGTCCACTCGCAGGTAAGATCCAAAACTTCATTCTTCAATTGCACTCCCACCTTGTGCCTCTTGGCACCGCATTCCGAGACTGAATCGAATTCCGAATCTGTGTTGTACCAATCATCGTATTCAGATTCATCCAACTTTCGCTTCAGAGTTTCCTCCTCGGAATGAGGATAATCCTGCTGCGACTCCACCCACTTACTACATCTGTCAAGTATCTTGCTCGTCAACAACTTCTTCGCCAAGTCTGTCATCGTGTTTAGATGACAAACATCACATATCTCATGTAAGTATTTCACCTGCAATATAACATACAGATCAGCGAGATCTTAAAGATTATTTATTTATTTATAAACAGGATATTATCCCTTTAATTACCAAATTATAATAAGAATAAAATACAGGATTGGTAAAAATATGACAAAGAAAATATAATTACAAAGAACTAAAATAAGCAAAAAATAAAAAGAGAAAATAAGATGGCTTATTTCAAAGTAGAATATAAGGATTTCCTAACTGCACTGATAGACGTATTAAAAGTCTATTCTTTCAGAAAATTAAATTAACTCCGTTATGCATATTTAAATATCCTATTTAAAGATTTGCATAGAAAATCTGATGTTTTTCCTCATTAAAAGTCCGATTAAACCTGAGATGTCTGCCAAGAATATATAAACTAATATTTTGCAATAAATAAGGACAACATTTAAAGAAATGATAGGTCTATAAAGAGTATACAATTCAAATATGCCGCCTTGGCGTGACGTGGTGAAACGCTGATCTTCCCAGAAAGCTGATGATCTCGCGAACGATTTTATTTCACAAATAAATGAAACATATTTATTCTCAACACATCATCGGGCAATGTTACTTGATCGAGAGATCCTCGACTAAATTCTTCCAGTTATCAATTCCAATAGTCTCACCGTGTCATCCTAGCTACGATGTGCTACCGTTCTCTTTGCTTCGCCAATTGCTTGTGCATCATTTCGCGTTGACGTTTATTCGTTATCGTTGCAGCAGATATTTATGTTGAGGACACACCTACTCTGATGTTCTCCCGCGAGTGCCTCGTCCGCGGACCTTCCTGGTGGAGGACGGTGCGAAATGTGGGATCGCGTCACGTTGCTGCTGTCACTTCTTCCGCGATCAGCTGTTCAGGAGCGAGCGACCGAAGGGGGACGACAATTTGCGCCCTGTCCTCAGGTTGTCAAATACTTTCTTTGAAAATCGGCACGTTAAAATTGCGTATATACCACATGTGCCTTCTTTATCTTACCTTTGTTTCACTCAAAAGGTTAAGCTCAGCCAATCGAGCGACTTCCCTCTCTCCTCTTTTAGAGCGGGAGGTTTCCGTTATTAAGATTAAAAATTCCGGAAATGGATTATTATTGTTTTGTCCAATTACTTAACGCGATGTATTTTAATTTACAATTCGGTGGATCGTTAATTAGCATGTGAAATATGTACTTGATGAATGCGTTTGATTAACATTCCACGTGTGAAATATAAATCGTTTTCTAGTAGTTTTTATTCTTTAAACCGATGACGTCATCTACTGATTTTTTGAATTTATTTATTTATTTATTAACCTTCCTTTTATAAGCGAAATTAACTTTGTACCTTATATTTTTGTTCGTTTAATATATAGAAGGTATTTTGAAATTCGCGAATCACCTGTTTATGAGGATTCCTCAGGTTAATTTGGAGACGATTTTTTCTCAGAAAAAATGTCGAGCACCAATAATTTTAAGAGTTTTTTGCAAACTAAGCCTTGTAAAAATAAAATAAAACCATATATTCTTCAATTTTAATTTCAAATACAGTTTACTTTAATAGAATTTTAATTTAATAATTTATAGTTATAGAATAAAGATCATATACATATATGATGATAAAAATTTGGGAACATCCAAAAAATGATAGCTTTCCTCGACATTTTCGCTAATGAAAAATCATTTCCAAATGATTCCAGGAATCTGCCATTAACAAATAATCCGTTAATTCTGAGACATCCTATATAAATACAAACACACATATATATATATATATATATATATATATATATATATATATATATATACATATATGTATATTTCTTATTAAAAAAATTATTATATTAACTCATCATGTTTATGAATTATTTTATAAGATAATAATAAAATAATTATTTTTTAAAGGACACGGAAAATGCGGCGTGGCGGTGATAAGGATATCAGGAAACCGATCTTTGGAAACGCTAAAAAGGATGACGAATATATCGAAATTGGAACCGAGGAAAGCTTTCTTACGGAAAATACGTGATCCTGAAACTGAAGAGGTCATTGACAATGGACTTTGTCTGTGGTTTCCTGGTACGTGCAACTTTAGCAGTTAATCAGAGTTAAAGACGACCCTATATATCCCAGTAAGCAAGAAATATTTAATCAACATTATGATTCAAAGATGACAAAAGGAATCATAAATTTAAAGCTCCCTAAATTTTTAAAAAACTTATGTTGCTTGAATATTATTAAAACATGTGTGAACAATAGAATAAAAAAATAATTGTAATATATATACAAATTTTTTTCTCCAAAATAATTTTTAAATGACTTCATCATTCCCAGTTCTAACTGAGATGTCTTCTGGATGTTCTCTGAATGTCTTTCAAACATATATGTGTGTTGTTAGGGAAAACTCTGCTCTTCTAATTAACAGTAAAAAATGTATGATTTGAATATAAAACGATATGTTTTAGGTCCGCACTCGTTCACCGGCGAAGATTCCGTGGAGTTCCACGTGCACGGCGGCACAGCGATCCTGACACGATTGATGCAAGCCCTCTCGAGGCTGCAGATACTTCCGGCTCAGCCTGGCGAGTTCACCAGACGCGCCTTTTACAACAACAAACTGGACCTAACCGAAGTAGAAGGTTTAGCTGACCTGATAGAAGCCGAGACTGAGTGCCAGAGGAAACAGGCACTTCTACAGGCCGATGGTGTCCTGCGCAAGCTGTACGACGGTTGGCGAAAGGTCCTCTCGAAATCCATGGCGAGTATCGAGGCGTACATCGATTTCGGCGAAGAGGACAACATTGAGAGCGACGTGGTGCAGCGAGCGCACGACGCTCTCAAACGGTTGATGCGAGACCTGGAGGATCATCTGGCCGATGACAGACGCGGCGAGATCCTGCGAAGTGGAATTAAGACCGTGATAGTTGGTGAACCCAACGTGGGCAAGAGCAGCCTGCTGAATCACCTGGTGCAGCGAAACGCCGCCATCGTCACGCCTATCGCAGGCACTACGAGGGACATCATCGAGCTGAGTGTCAACATTTCGGGGTATCCCGTGCTGATAGCAGACACAGCAGGTATCACGGATAACACTGAGGATATCATCGAGGTCGAGGGCATCCGGCGTGCGAGAAACTACGCGGAGAACGCGGATTTCGTTATCGTCCTAGTGGACGCGTTCAAGTACGCGGTTAGTGGAATGACGTATGAAGATTACGTGCGCGAATATCTAACGTCGCTGGGAATGCACGAATTGTTAGCGAAAATGAGCAGGGAACGTTTCATCGTGATAATGAACAAGAGAGATTTGCTGAAAGCGGAGGACAAACAACGTCTGGACGATGTTAAAGCGGTTCTCGTGTCTTGCAAGACGGAAGATGGCTTGCAGAACTTGCTGCGATCGCTAACGGATCGCTTCAGTAATATGTACGCTTCAGTAATATGTACGCTTCAGTATATGTACAATGCATGCAGATAATTAACATTGACATTTGCAAAGTAGCCTGCTAATCTTGTGATTTTGATTAAATCAGCTGGTTTTTTTCATATATTGTAGTAGTTTATGACCTGCTGAACAAAAGATGTAATAAGTGTCAAAACTAAATAATATACTATATAGTTAGTGATATACTATATAGTTATTGATATGAAAAATCCAGATTCTACAAGTTGTTTGACTACAGCTAGTGGATTTTTCATATCTGACTGGCTAAATCAGTAACTGTCTATTATTTAGCTTTGAGACTATTACATATCTATTTATTTTTTTGATCAGCAAGTCATACAACATATAAGAAAACTAGTAGATTTTACAAAGATTCAATTTTATATAGGATTAAGTATAATGCAGAATTTTTGAATTTATATAGAATTTTAGATAAAATTAAATCCTGCGATAAAATCAGATGGTTTTCTCATATGTTGTAGCTTTCGATGACCTACTAAACAAAAAAGTAGCAAGTTCAAAGCTAAATAATAGTTACTGATTTACAATCAGTCAAACATGAAAAACTGGGACTTTGCGAGCTGTTTGACTGGCTGTAACTCAATAATTGATTATTATTCATAAGCTTTGAAACTATTGAACATTTTGTTCAGCAGATTACAACATATACAAAAAACCAGCTGATTTAATCGAAATCTATTTTACATGAGATTAGTGCAGAGTAACTTTGTCATTAGGTCTGTTTTCTTTAGCTGAACAGGCTGCAGTTCAGAGTTCACCTTTTTCACTCAACCTTAGAAGGAAAGAGCTAAAGAGCTCTGAACTAGTTCAGCCAGTTCAGCTGAAAAGAACAGACCTATTACAAACTGCCGACGTTTTAGATGTGGCGAACCATCCGCGGAGAGTCCGACCATCAGTCAGGCGAGGCACAGGGATCATTTGACGCGGTGTCTGAGGCATCTGCGAAATTACTTTGAATTATCTGCCAATGAACAACACGACATGGCCATAGCGGCGGAGGAAATACACAAAGCGATGCGAGAACTCGGAAGGATAACCGGACACGTCAGTACGAATGAGATATTGGATATCATATTCAAGACCTTTTGTATCGGCAAATGATTGGACCGATGTTATAGGGTATTTAGTAATGGCTGTAAGAAAAATACAAAACGTGTAATAAATTGCGATTACATATTTGGATGTAATGTATCCCAAGTAGCAAAATGACGTCAGAGAAAAGTATGAAGTTTATAAAGATACACTACTTTTAGATCCCAAATAACAAACTGACGTCATTAAATGTCAAAATGACATCATTTTGCTACTTGGAATCTAAAACTAGTGTATCTTTATAAACTATATACTTTTTCTTCATGCATACATAATAAGTGAAGTACTTTCTCGCAAAATATGATCGCAATACTTTCTGAAGATACGCCACATCATTTTGATATCCGGCAAAACATTGATTTTGTAATTTGTCTTTGGTACAAGAGGAAGACAAGAGGTTAAAAAACGGAGTTATCTGTGCATACATAAATAAATATATAAGATTGTTCGAGGGAAGACGGCGTTTGAGTTAAATAAATAGGAGGGTGCCTTCATAAGCATCGTATGTTTATTAACAATGTTACACGCACAATCATACATAGAACAACCTTTTGCCTGATTATAGGATATAGATACCCCACGCGTTTATACACAGATAGGGCTCCGTTATATGGTCTCAAGTCGTTATCTGTATGCCATGTCCGTGTTATATGTGCTAATTGTATCGTTATTCTGACACCACTCGTAATAACTCGCTCTCGTAAAAAGGATATTATAATTCGACAACGAAGTAACGAAAGCAAAACAACTCGACTGAGGGAAGGAGAGAAAGCAAACAAAAAAATTAGAAATATATATATATATAAGTCGCATACAAAAATTCGCTTTTTTCTACCACGGACGATTATTTATATATATATATGTATATATCTTACAACGCTGTGATATTCGAAATAGACTATATTTCTCTATTACAAAGAAAAAAAGAAAAGAAACAATTGACGCTTAATCCTTAAATGGTATTATTAGTTACACAAAGTCCATTATGCACACAACCGCTAATAAAATTTTTTATTTTTTTTTAAATTTTTTAAATCGATTTTATTTATCGCACTAGCTTCTTCCTCCCATTTTTACAACGTTTAAATTTCGAACAAGTGCATCTGGTTCTTTGTTTCATTATTTTTATTTCTCTATAATGGTAACTTCTCTCTATCTCTCTCTTTTTTATTAAGACTTCTGGTTCCTCACCGATCATGTTGGAATTGTGACGTCAGAGGAAGAATTTTCAACGCTTTCTCACGTCGTCACAGCTTAACATGACCACGGCGAGGACCCAGGAGCCTTAATCTGTTTTCCTCCCAATTAAGGATTAATTAAATTCAATAAATTCGTGTGATTCGTTGCGGGATTCGTCGTTCGCGACTTCTCGCTGCGTGCATAATAATATATTCAGGGATGTGAGTCGCGAACGAGTTCACTATCGATACAATATATGATTACAAATCGATCAGAAAAAAAAGAAAGGTAAATCGAATGACTTTTTTTAATGTATGTATATATATGTATGTATATATGTATATATAAATTAATTTGGCGAATTTATCACACGCGACGCACGAAAGCGGCGCGCTAGAAGATTCATCTTTCCTTTTTTTTCCCCTCCTCTATTTCTCTTTTCATATATAAACCCAATATTTAGTAGAACCCTCTCGAAGAGGATGAATGCTCGTTTGTACAATTGCATAGATTAGTTCTTTGAGATCTATCCGAAAGCAAACTGAATCGCGCTGCGCTATTTCGAGCACGCATTTGTCTTCAAGATCGTCTTCATTTTTCTATCTACACGTAATGTCCTACTTTTTTTTCTCGCCTTTTCTCTTTTATAAAGCCTTAGAAAACGCAACGCGGTTTACACATTTCGACGAAAATAAAAAGCCGCTCTACATCGCTTCTCTCAATTCTTCTTCTTCTTCTTCATCTTCTACCTTTGTGAGATCTTGGACGATCTCGCGCAATCCTTAAATGCTATCGACCTTGAGAGATTTCGGCTGTTAAAAATCATGATAGTACCCGAGGATTCATTCAGACCTATTGAACCGCGCATCCATCAAGCACACTCATCAAATTAAAAAAAAATCCATGATTAACGCAAATAAAATTATAGACATACTGGTTACATACGAAAATATATATTTTAATATTGTTTTTCAAGAATAATAACGTAATATAATTTTTTTTCATCGCAAATCGAACAGAATCACTTGTTAAGAACATATGTAGCATTATTATCTCTAAAGTGTAATAATAACTGAATATGAATTTTGATTAGATCAACGCTCATTTTTTCGATCGGAAAAGAATGAACGAACTAGATGCGATATTTCAAATAATAATTCGAGATGCACAAGAAGATCATACAACTTATAGCTTTAAGTAACAATTATCTTGCTTATAAGACGTACGCACACACACATATTAGACACATGCAAAACTGTATACATAATTCGATTCTCGGAGCCAATTAATTAATTATTTATTAATTAGGGATGAACGCAAGCGGTTCAGAAGGTTTCTTCGCGTTTCCACGTGGAGGATACAAACGAGAGAAAAGACGGAAACGAAGAAAAAGCCATTTTCTCCTTCTCTCGCCCATAACCGGTCCACGAAGACCTTTTCCCGACCTCGGAAGAGACATCGTCCATCTCACTCGCAGTTCGTTCTCTATCTAACGCGTCTCTTTTATTTATTGTATATAACAGCGGATCGGAATACGAGAAAAGAAAGACGCGAAAGTAAAAGGTCTGTCGTGGATCGAGTCGAAGACTCTTCGATTTCCGCTCGGTTTCTTTCCTCATTCCTCATAATTGGTCCACGAAGACCACCTCCCCGGCCTGAGGATGATCGAGGAGTCCGCTTCGTCCGTATTTTTTCTCTCTCTCTCTCTCTTGATAATCTTTTTTTTCTTTCTCCTTATAGATAAATTTTTTTAAACTTATTTAACGCGTCATTGATCCTATCACATCATATCAAAGTCGAGCGTTCTTCTCTTTATACTAAACTGCTCGGCATTTTTGCTCTTCTTATTTCACCCAGCAATACTTTAGCCAAGTGCGAAGTGGTTGTTGTTGAACATTAGAACATTTTCAAAGACTCTCGTTCTCTACTAAAGGCGCTAAATTCGACGATAATTACGATTATCGTGAGCGTTATCCAGCAATTCGTTAGACTGGAATAGAACGCTAAGAAATTATACATTAATTAATTTATAACAGCATGCTGATTGAATTTTGAGACGCTAAAAATGCTTTCGGTTCGATTTCGTGTTCAGAAAACTTCCGTAAAAGCCCAAGTAGCAAACTGACGTCCGCTTGCTACCTGAGAGACGTATATATATAATTCTCGCACAATTCTGACGGAGAAGCGAATTTCTTGTCTACATTTGTTCATTTTCATCCTTGTAACTCTTTTGCGCTGAATAAAAAGTGGAATGTACATCAAATTGATTTCGTACGATTGATCAGATTCGCGAAATAGAGCCATCTCTAGATCATGTCAGAGAGATAACCGATTACATCTTATATAAAAAATGCATATCTCAATAATTGTGTCGGAAAAATCGCTCACGCATCTCGGAAATATATGTCTGTCACGATATCAGTGTCATATGTATACATTTGTTAAATTATAAATACTAATAAGTAAAAATAATTTAGAGTATATATCTTTAGATATTAATATTTATAAATGTATATATAACATATGATAGTGTGTATATTTAAAAATTTCCAAATTTAAAATTTACAAACACATCTATATACTCGTCTTGATATCGGACGCGAGGGCAGCTTTTAATAAAGGAGATCCGACATTACGTGGACAAACATATCGGTAAAAGAGAAACATTCTCACCTCGAAGAACACAAAGATGAATTATCGAAGACAATAATCGTGTCGCGTCATTCAGTATCTCGGAATTTTCGTTTCGTCTCGCGAGAATCTTGAAATAAATCGAAGTTGAGTCCTCGGAACTGGAACGATCAGCATATTTCTTTTCTTTTTTTTCGTCGACGTTCCGGTGCCGAGGTAATGACTCGTTCAAGATCATCAGCTGCCGATGGCACGGATCGTATTTTATTTTTATTTCTTTTTCCAGAAAGGAAAGGAGACGAGACCGCATTTGTTCGCTTCTAGCGAATGTATGTCTATACACACATACACATTCTATACTTTGCATGTAAGTAATGCCTATTTTCCAAAGATATATACGTTATGAGAAGCACACACTTTCGCAATCATTAATCATTAAACTCCCACCTCTGTGTTTCTCCCCTTTTTTGTTTCACGCGTTTCTATGATCCCTTGGAAATGTCATCCGTTTTGTCGTCGCGGGTTTTCTATCTACTTCTTCAAGACATGACAGGAACGCGTTTGTCGCTTTCGGAGGTGACGATTGAAAAAGGTGTGCATACACGATTTCGTTTCTGTTAATAATTTCTCGCTGAGATCCGGCTAGGATTCGATCTAGGATCTGGTAACGTCAATTAATACCAATTTTTAATCAATGCTGAGTTGATTTCACAAGATATTTTTGAAAGGATTCTTAAAGATACATTTCAGAAATAATTTTGCAGTTTAATAAAAATTTTTTTTTTTTAAATAAAATTATAAACTTTAAAATGTTTTTCCAAGAAGAAAATATATGTACAAATCGCAATTGGTATTAAACGGCGTTGTTACTAATCTCTAATCTAACGCTTATACAATAATGCAAATTTCTATCTTATGCCCCACTTTTCTAGAGCACTTAAGTATAAAAGAGAAATATATATCACTTAGAGACTGCAACGGTGAAATTTAATTCTGAAACTGTGAAATTCCTGAACCATCGCAACTCAAAATGGCGTATGCACACGCAGGGTACTATAATTTTACGGAAAAAAAAACAAAAAAAAAAAAAACAACGAAATAAGACCGAAGAAAGATTAATGCCGATCGTAAAAGAGAACTGAAGATTACATTGAAGGCTACATCAAATTTATTTTGCCGCAAATCAACTTTCGGGGACCGATCGCACATCTAGAAGCGACCCAGGTAGCAACAACAATCGTTATGACATCATTTTGACGTCAAAATGACTACTTTTATTACAGTGCGAATGAAGAAGGAAATTTTCAAGCTCATGCTCCGGTGAAATCGGCCCCGGAAAAGATACCTTTAACAATATTTCTAAATTCATTCGACGGATCAAAGGGATATGTCACGATCCGTGAAATACGCGCCTCGCGTATTTATTATTTATCCTCTTTCATTTATCAATAATCGCGCGATGTTACTCTTTTTCATTTAGTATAAAAGTCTCATCCGGTTAACATGATCGATCGGTAGGCAAATTCGAAGAATTCGACTACACATGCACGTTCGACTACCTCTTAAGACTCGACATGTGTACTCCTTTAATGAGGAATCCTTAACGATTAAATCCTTACACGCGTATTTAATATGTGATGCTTATGAGTTTATGAGCTACCTATACTAAAGGAAAAAACATACACCACTGAAAGATTATATTTCTCCTTATCTCTCTTTCTCTCTCTCTCTCTTCGCGATCACGCGTTAATTATTATTATTATTAGCTATACTCGGATCGCGCCGCAAAGCTACGTTTTTTTTTCATTTTTCTTTTTGCACTGTGCATACGCTTAGTGGAGATGTAATGTTTCGCGATAAATGGGAGCAAAATTCGAACGATACGCGTCACTCTACTCGCGATAATAAAAATTTCTAAATCCTCCTCATGTCTACAATTTCCCTATTCCCCCCAATCATTCCTATAACATGATCTTTCTCTCGCAGGCATCATTACACCACCACCCCATATACAAATAGTGAAGCACATTAAAAACATAGCGGTAAGCTAAGTATTATGTAAGTATTGGAAAACTTCCACTAATTCTATGCAAAGTATAGCTTGTAGAATATCATTCATTAAAACTAAGACTTACACAATAACCGTGAGATAATATATATTTTCATTTCCTTCCTCTTTTTAATATTTTCAGAATTTTTTTCTTCTCCCCGTCGAGAGGCGCTCGGGGATTATTTTCTGCTTCATTCAATCATGACTCGAAAAACTAATACAATCAAAACCGGCACCTAGGTACCGCTTCGTGGATAGCGTGTATTCTTTTATATTCGACCTCCCTTTTTTTGTGTCTCTGTATGAAGATTCACACACGCTATATAGATTACATATTATTACATCATAAAATTATAGTTGAGCTCACAACACTCACTATGCCCTGCCGTGTCACATCGAATGACGGAAACAAGTGAAAATCATCGCTTCTGCTCCTCCTCATTGAATTAAAACGCATCCTTTCCAAGTGATACGCGTAAATTTGCCAAAATACCGTTTCCTCGCTCGGGCTCATTCGCGTCGATCGTGGCTCTATGTATAACTCAGATTGGCTAAAATTTATTTCAAACTGGATCAGAAATTGAAATAACTTTCACCATATCTCTCGCGTGTGATGCGACTGATGCGAGTAATTTGGCTAATCTCGCGTACAAGTGTACTTGCGAAACGCTCGACGCAACGATTACATCAACTCGTCCCTCGTGAATCAACAAATAACATCTACGTCAGAAAATTGATAATCGAAAAGGCAGACGCTACTTTTTACAAATTCTCTTCAGCATCCACGAATCTCATAAGAAGAAGAATGTTCGAGCATTCTTAGGCTCCTGGAAATTGTGACGTTAGGTGCGAGCAAACGCACGCTAAAAATTCTTAGATACCATTTCGAAACAAAAAAGCACTTTGAATGACTTTAATACACTCTTAAAATACCTCGAAAACTATCATTTTCCCTTTATAATTAATCCTTAATAATTAATCAATCTGTAAAATAATTATAATATAAAGCCTAGTCTTTGCATACATGTGAAATTATTCCGATAACAAAATCTGATATCATAATAATTTTACGGTTATTGATTGTAACTATCAGGGGAAAAGAATTATTTCCGAGAGATTAAAAGTGCTAAAGTCACCTGAAATATATTTCTATTTAAAAACAGCATCTAAAAATTATCAGTGTACGCTTTCTCGCCTCTGACGTCACAATCTGACACGACTGCGAGGCTTCAGGAACCTGAAGTTTTTACAATATTAAGCGAAACCTAAAGGAAAAAAAAAAAAGAAATCTGACGATTTACTTTATTTGTTGAATCGCGGCGGTCTCCTCAATCGCGGCATCAACTCCGTCCTGACAGCTCTGGCGTAATTCGGCGCTGCGTACTGATCGGTCACCGCGATCGGGCTCTGCAGACTCTGTATGAACATGGACGAGTCTTGGATCTGGCCTACGCCTGCCGCGGCCGCGGCCGCCGCCGCCGCCGCGGCCTGATACTGATACTGGCTGTTGGTCATGTCGGCGGTCGGATAGTGATTCGGCTGCACGAACTGCGGCGGGTTTTCGTACTGCGGATACGGGATCGAGCTCTCGGCGGAGAATTGCGGGATCACCGCGGGATTCACGTTGACCGGCGTCGTGGCGAAGCTGCCGGGATCGTAGGTCTGATGGTACTGATTCAGCTGGCCGAGCTGGGTGGTGTTGAAGGGCGGCGACTGCGGGAACTGCGCCGCCGCGGTGTCCGAGAAGAGCATGCTCGCGACCGTCGGCTGCGGCGGGAAGGAGTCCGGCCGCGGGTACGGCGACATGCTCGCCGTCACCGCCGCGTTGTTCAGATTCTGCACGCTCGGTATACCGGCGGCGAGCGGCGAGGTGCTGTATCCGTGGAACGCCGTGGTCTGCGAACGTCCGGGGTGGTCGGTCAGGTCCTTCACGCCACCGCTCTGTAGGGAGCTCATCATGTTGAGCTTGGACTTGGCGCCGCCGAGGCTCGTTTCGTTGCCATGCTTGGCGCGTGCGTCCGTCAACAGAGGATGCCGTACGTTCACGATGCTCTGGGGAGCGCGCAACGGCGGGAAGTTGATCGGCGCCATCTTCGAGTTCTGCTGCTGCTGCTGTTGTTGTTGTTGCTGTTGCTGCTGCTGCTCGAGAGCCTTGCGCGCCACCGCAAACGCGCTGTCGCCTCTCTGAGAGACGGCGGGGTACGTCGAGCTGGACGGCGTGTGATTCTCTCGGTGCAGAACGGTCGACGCCGCGGTAGACGATGACTGATGATGCGCCGTGAATCTCAACGGCAGATTGGTGCAGGTCATCGCGGCGGTGTTGCTGCTACTCCTGCTCTTGTAATCCGGACTGTTGACCGACACCGATTCCTTGTAGTCCGACTGAATCGGATAAGTCTTCATGCTCGAGTCCGCTTCGCCCGCATATTTCTTCGGACCGTAGTCCTTCAAGTGCTTCACCGGATTGCTCTCGTGCGCGGTGCTGTTGACGCAGGTGCTGACAGGCCGTACGTTGCTGAACTGTTTCGCGTTGACGATCGACGCGTTCTTCGTCGCGCCGTGCGATTCGCTCGCAGACTTTAGACTTTCACTGTTACCGTCATTCTTCTTCATCGACGAGTTAATTTTGCCAGTGGCAATCGGGTTTCCTGACGTTGCGATGGTGTGCAAAGTAGCATCCTTGTTACCAACTGCGATGTTTCCTGTCCTGACAGACAGCTTGGACGTTCTGGCTTTATTTCCCATGTGGTCCACCTTCTTTCCCTTGTCGGAAATCTGATTGCTGGCTGATAATGCTTTGGTGTCTGTATTGTTCTGATTCTTGGATGCGAAATTATTGTGGGATTTGCAGGTGATGGTGACAGCTGGCAGGAGCAAAGCGCTGGCTCACTTCTTGGTCATGATTTTCAGATATTCCAGAGCATTTTGAGCAGCACTGGCTTGAGCATCTTTACTAGTCGCACCGCAACCATAGCAAACTGCCACTGGCAGGGTAGACAGTTGCACAAGGCACTGGAATTTACCTGGAAAATGGAACAACATTAATGTATAAATTAATCATGAAATGCCTGACATTACTCTTCAACATTTACAATTATAAACCATTTCAATAAAAGCTCGCATCACAATTTATGATAACGTGTAATGTCATAGTTCATAGACATATCAACAAACATCTTACATAATATAATGATCAAATATTACAGTACTCATTTTATCATCATTTATAAGAAATCCTGCTTGACACGAAACATAGTGACTATACATTTACATGCTTATCTAGTTTATTAACATTTGTAGTTATTACTAATTAAAAATATCGTGTCAACGTTGATTTTACACCGGTAATATAACATCTGTTATTATTTGTTATCTACAAACATATTCCTATGTGTGACCTACAAGCAGAAGTACAAGTGGATCCAGGCACTATGGCAGCTTTAACATCAGTTAAAAATGCCTTGAGGAAAAAATGAAGAATACTCTTCAAAACATTAGTTCACAAGAAAAAAGAGAGCAATCTATAAACGTATTGAAGAAGGTGAGTCAGGAAAAAACATATAAATCAATAATACAATATATTAAAGTCCTTGAAAAGGTTATGTTCATGGAAATGAAAGAGCTGTATATAAAACAATCATAATTTTTATAATTTTTGACATTAACGATTAAATATTCCCGCGCTTTTTTACAGCTGTGCGCGCTGAAGCAGTATCAAGATAGCAAGAGAATCTCGGTGTATCTGAGCACCAAGGATGAACTTGACACTTTGCCCATCTTAAAGCACATGTTCCATGTAGGAAAGGAGGCATTTGTACCAAGGTATCAAGGAAAAACTATGGAAATGGTGAAACTGAAGTCACTGGATGACTACGAAACATTACCTTTAACAAAATGGAACATTAAACAACCCAGCCTCGCTGAATGTCGCGAAAATGCATTAGAAAGTGGTAAACTCTCACAATAAAATAAGTCACTTTTCCAAAGCTTTGAATTAATCAATTAATAATTTTAATTCTGTATATGTGATGACACAGGTGGATTAGATTTAATAATTTTACCAGGTGTTGCCTTCACAAAGAATGGCGAGTTATATATATATATATATATTTGTATTTTATATTTGTTTTATCCTATAAATATATTTATTTTATTATATTAATTAGGAAAACGTCTGGGACATGGAATGGGTTATTACGACAAATATTTGAAAATATGTTTTCAAAGACAAACCACAAGACCATATTTAATTGCAGTAGGATTTAAAGAACAAATACAAGAGGACATTCCTACGAATGAAGATGACATGCTCGTTGATATTGTACTGGTTGATATATAGAATACATATAAAAATGTAAAAGCTTATAATTTTATTTCATGCAAAATGTGCAACGGAAATAAAATTATTTTATCTTATGACAAATAAAATTACTTTTATTATATAGATCGTAAACTTACCACTGATAGATTTTTCTTCAATATCAACATAAGTTACTTCGAACTGCTGCTCTGATGCAATTTCTTGTAAGAATTGTACCAAATTTACATCCCCATCGTTGAAACAAGTATTCTGTAACAAGATTAGAGTAACTTGTCAATTTTAGTTTATCAATATAGGCAATTTGTTTCTAACTTAATAGCAGAATCTTTGTAGTTATCAGAATACTAATTTTTCTATTGGCTTTGCCGAATCTGAATACAAACCTGCAGTTGGAAAAGCTTAACACCTGTGGATGACTTGAGACTCTTGTGAAATTTCGAAACTTGGATACTATGTACTGTTGTCAATGTCGAGATTTTGCTACCTTTCAGATCGGCATAACGGGCGCTCACGTTTGCATTTCTTTGCACAATCTATAATGGACAATTAATATATACATGTAAAACTTTTGGTAAGCACATGAATTATGAGGAATGCTTTATTAATAGCTACTCCACGTTTACATCAAAACTCAAATGAAGTGGATATGACCCAAGCGTAATTTTTCTTCAGAGAGAATACACAATTAAATTTGTAAATACTGTACATTGAAACATGATACTACACAAACAATGGTCCGTTATAGATTTAAACAGATCGGAAAGATAGCTCACATTTTACAAAATGGCATTTAAGCCAAAAATCACTTCCACTTCGCTAAACACGCATTCGCGCACACATTCACATACACACATATATACAGCAAATATAAAATATCACTAATCGCTTGTCTTTCAATCCCTGCTATTATCTGACTATATCCTGTACCAACTGTACTTTTTTTCTTTAAAACATATTTTTAATAAATTCTAAAAACTAATTTTTAATTCCTTCTTAACTCTAATCAACGAATTTTAATTATATTCCATATTAATTATATTCAATTTTATTCCATACAATCACAAAGGATTATCAACATGAACAAACATCTGCTCTCCTTTTAAATAAACATTGAAATTTATTTGCACATTCGATATAGAAAAAATTAAGAAAAACATTTTGAATCATGCTCTTCCCCTGAAATTCTGCGGACGGCCATGATTATAAAGGAGATATCCAAAGTTGACAAAATGACAACGACAGGGATTAAATGAACAATAGATGTACAAATTGACATATAATATTCATCATTTAATGTAACAATTAACAAAACAATACGAATTCTTACCTCATCCTCATCAACACTGGGAGCTTGATTATTCATATCGTGTAAGGCTTGCCACATCTTATGAGCGGCATGCCTCTTGGCAACTTTTTACTCTTTCCTTGACCAACCTCGCGATACTTTAGGATCGAACAAACAATAGTGAATTGTCTCTCGTGGGGTAAACCTTCCTCACCCTCCATCGTGTATTTTGGCGGCGGCCAATGGCGCGACATACACATTTCTTGTAAGGCTCCAATTGGATTATTCACTACTTTCTCCTCCCCGTAAGATTGTAGTTCTTGTAAATTTTGCGAGCTGCATAAAGATAAAGCATAATTTTACATATACATTTACATATAATCGCAAGTACTTGAAATATCTCTCAATATTTATACAATAAGCAACAGCCTTACTCGGGTAAGCTATTTGGAAGTGGAGATTCCGCAGATTCCGTATTCACTCCGATTAATTTATCCAGAACAGCTTTTGCAGCAGCGTGTTTCGCTTCTTTTTTAGACCTGCCAGTTCCCATTGCTGAAACAATCGGATCTGTTTTAAATAGCTACATACTTATCGATGAGCAAATGTCTTATTGTCAATAAGACATAATAATACAAAGAGGACACAAACCAACGACGTCAGCTACGGTGACTCTGTATCGAAATGTAGGTTCGTGAATAGCCCCCTCGATTTGAACCAGCTCGTATTTAGGTATCGTGCCTCTGCGGGAGAGTAATTCTTGAAGAACGGAGACAGGTGTTTTGCTGGGTAATGCCTTCATTTCCAAACGGGCTGCTTCGTGCAGCGGTAGCTTCTCCAACATCATAGCGTGCAACGTCACACGGACTCTATTACGACGATTAACGTTGTTTGAGTGATTAGGAACGCCACCTACACCAGGCATCATGTTAGGTCCAACCTGCTGTTGTTGATGCAACTCCTCCATCGTAATGTCCTTAAAAATTACAAAAATTCACAATTAATATCCCTTCAATTAACGTCAACAAATCAAAAACAGTATATCGACTTGACTTGTAAAAAAAAGGAGGAAAAAAAGAAAAGAAAAAAAAAACAAAACATTTATTCTAGACACTTGAAAAATGCACGATAAAAATAAACGAGAATTTCGTAGAACTTTACAGTATCTAATTAACCTCCTTCCACGTTTTTATCTGTAATTGCACACTCGTCTTATCGAGCAGTAATAACATATGTAACGCAGCTAATTTATATGCACGAACGTCCCAAACTATCCTCGCAACACGTACATCAAGATCGCGAACGCTTACTCAGAATTTCCGACCATCGTAGAGAGATATCGTGAAAACGTCAGCTTCGAACGATCGGAGGTCCTAAAAGGACGCGGAAATCCGGGCGAGCTGTCCGTGACGTCGAGTGCGAGGAAATCGAAATCCCAATCGACGACGGACTACGAAAATCGTCGGAGGACCGGCATGGCCGCCATGATTGTTATAAAATCCATCGATTGACCGTAATAGAACGACGCGGGACGAAATATACGCGGGACTCGCCGAAAAACGTTAAGTGCGACGTCGTTTTTCCCGATGATGACAATGACAATGACGATGATTATTATTATTATTATTATTATGATGATTATGAGATGATGATGACGATGATGATGACGATGACGATGACGGCGGCGACCCGGCCCGGTAACGGCCGACCGGTTCTATGTATATGTGTATACGTATCGTCCGCTACGCGGGTTCGATCCGCGGGCCAAAGTCACCGGGGGACGAAACACGCGTCTCAGACTTACGGATCTTTTCCGGGGAGACGTGTAAAAGGTACAGCTGGCTCCAACGACAGGCCAATTCCTATGCGAAAAGCGAATCCCGCTTTTTGTGATCGATCCAAGTCTCACAAAAAGCTTGATCCGTTTGACGACAGAAAAATGGTTTACTGGCTAGCGGAGAATCCCTTCCTCGTTCGCAGCTCTGCGATATCTGCGAGTGTGTCCGTGCATCGCATCCCTCTTCACGCGCGTGTGCGCACGTGCGCGCGGCCGATACACGGCTTTTGTGCGGTGAGACTGGTGAGGCTCCTGCGCAGGTGAGAGATATTATCGATGATCGGTAAGATACTCGCTTGGTAAAAAGGGACTCTGCGCATGCGCGAGACGCCGCGCACCGCGCGCGTCTCATTGGCTCGCGCATCGCCCAATCAGCTGACAGCTGTCAATAGTATCAACCGGCCAGTTCTGTGAAGTTAGCCTAACAAAATTAGATTTTCGAAGTTTCAATAATTGAAATCGATAGTTGGTCTTTTATTGATTATTGTTGGTCATATTTTTAGCTTTTGTTGGTTATAAAAAAAATAAATATTAATGTGAAGTTAGCTTACCTAAATATATACAATTTTAATAGATTTTAACAGGGTTGGGAAAGTTACTTTGTAAAAATAACTAATTACAGTTACAGTATTTTATTGAAAAAGTAACTAGTTACAGTTACAAAGTTACCGATTTTAAAAAATAACTCGTTACAGTTACAGTTACTTAAAAAGTAACGAATCGTTACTTTTCAGTTACTTTTTAAAAATAATTATACATTATTTTAAATATAAGGAGCTTACATTTTATGCACAATCACAGTCAAGCATTTAAAAAAATTCTTGAATGTAATATTGATCGATTTGCTTGCGACTTTGCGATTACCATCAATGTATAAATGACCTTTATATACAACAGTAAAAATAGTTATAGTAACTTACTAAATGGTAATCGCAAAGTCGCAAGCAAATCGATCAATTGTTACATTTAAGAATTTTTTTAAATACTTGACTGTGATTGGTCGATCTTAATTATGTATTATATTATTTTATGTACACAAAATGAAAATTTTAGGTACAAGATTAAATCATATGAAGATTCATATGTTACTGTTATCAAAATTTAATTTAACAATATAATAGCTACCATACTTAAACGATACTTTTAGCGGATGTTTCCAAAAAAGTAACTAATAAAGTAACTGTTAAAATAATTACTAATTACTAAAAAAAATGTAACTAAGTTACAGTTACAGTTACAGATGGAGAAAAGTAACGAAGTTAAGTTATAGTTACCGAAAAAAAGTAACTGTAACTGTAACTTCGTTACAAGTAACTCGTTACTTCCCAACCCTGGATTTTAATTAATTATACGTCAAATCGATAGGAAATCAATTGTTGGTCCCAATTATGTCTTTAGAAATGATTGTTGGTCGATTATTTACTAATTATAACAAAATAATTATTTTTCAATTGCTCACATATACTGCGCATGCTGTTTCCACACACAATCATTAAGTTAGCTCTTTACAAATATATATTATTCCGCGATCAGAGAAATGTACAATTAAATGAAACAGGTATTTTATACAAATACGTTTAAATTGACACATTTATAATTAGTCTTACTGTATTTATTAGGATTTTAAGTAATTGTACTAACGATATAAACTTTGTGTTGAGAAAATCAGTTATTAGAAAATTTATGGTTAATACAGGTAAAAAATTAAAAAAAATTATTATTGCTAAATAAAAAACAAAATTATTGTTATATTAATATTTCTTATTTTACAGATATTTTACTATAATGGTTGAAAACAGCATGCGCAGTATATATGCGCATGCGCAGTATATGCTAAATACTGTACTGCTATTTTATCTGCTAATAAATGTGTTCAGGTTTCTCTTATTGCAATGAGTTAACAAATAATGCTAAAAGAAAATGTGAATTAATTATTTATTAACATGAAAGAAATATAATCTCTATTTAATAGAATAAACTGAATAGAATGGTACGTATTTTTGAATTTGCGCGCTTCCCTTTTAATCGCGGACCTAGAATCCGAATACAAGTGCGCGTCCATATCAACTATCAACGTTAATGACTGTACCCTCTTAATAGTATATGTTCTATGACCCTCTTACTTTTTGCGGCACCTTACAGTCACTTTGCGGATTTTTTCGAGTTTCGATTCGGGTTCGAGTTTTCGGTTATCCGAAACCGAGTGTGACATTTGTTTAGTGAGAAAATATCGAACTATTTGTTCCTGGACAAGGCACAGATATGGGTCGCTACAGGAGGTACACAGATGCGAATATTTGCATACTTTAGGTCTCCGGTCGAGGAGGCTTCTCTGCTCCGCACATTCGCGCGGTGACAAGCTACTTGTCTTTTCGTTACAAAAACTGGCTTTAATTGGTGTTTTTTCTGAAATTTTTCGACAAAGTACTCTCATAATCTTATATATTTCTTCAAAATTGCGATACATTTTTGACAGCGGTTGTCAATCATACATGACGCTTCTTGGACGCTCCTGTCAGTTGTGATTAGAAAAATTATATTAAAACTTTTATTCATAAAATTATATAAATAAACATTTTTATAAAAATAAGCCGCTTAATGACGTCAGTTTGACGTTTAATGACATCAGTTTGACGTTTAATATCAGTTTGAAGTTTATGATATCAGTTTGCTATCTGGAAACGCTGACTTGAAAAATTGTGTAAACAGCAGAAGAATTATTTAAATTAATCATGTATATATGTGTCCAGCCGCAGTCGAGACAGGGACAGGCGGCGCAGATCGCGTACCCGCTCGAGGAGCAGATCACCGCGTGACAGGAGGAGCTGGGGTGGCAGCGGAGGACGTGACAGGCCTTCCAGCAGTCGCAGCAGTCGTGGTCAACCCGGCGCTAATCTGAGGAAACCACGATGGGATCTCAGTCGATTGGAACCCTTCAAGAAGGACTTTTACATCCCTCAAGACTCGGTTCAGAATCGAGATCTCCGTATCGTCGAGAAGTACAGAGCTGACAAGGAAATTACCCTGAGGGGCAAGAGTATACCCAATCCTGTTCTCGATTTCGACGAGGCAGGTTTCCCGGATTACGTCCTGAAAGAGATCAAGTAAGCGGTCGACATGCAAAGATTGACTCTTTGGACAATTGCGAGTTTTAAGTTATTTATTAATACACACATGAAAGAAATAATATTAATCTCTATATATAATCTGTATTTAATAGAATGAATTATAATATAATAACTATAAATAATAAAAGTATTCTTTTTATATTGTAGAAGACAAGGTTTCACCGAACCTACGTCGATCCAAGCTCAAGGATGGCCTATTGCATTGAGCGGCCGAGATATGGTGGGCATCGCATCCACAGGTTCCGGAAAGACGCTGTCTTATATATTGCCTGCGATAGTTCACATTAATAGCCAGCCGAAGTTAAGTCGCAAAGACGGGCCTATCGCGTTAGTGTTGGCGCCTACCCGAGAGCTCGCCCAACAGATTCAGCAGGTTGCCGATGACTTCGGCCATTCGTCAGGCATTAGAAACACCTGTTTGTACGGCGGTGCACCGAAAGGTGCCCAGGCCAGGGATCTGGACGGCGGTGTGGAGATAGTTATCGCTACACCTGGTAGACTGCTAGATTTTCTCGAATCTGGCAAGACAAATCTGAAGAGATGTACATATTTAGTATTAGACGAAGCTGACAGGATGTTGGACATGGGATTCGAGCCACAGATCCGAAAGATTATAGAACAAATTAGACCAGACAGGCAGACCCTGATGTGGTCGGCCACATGGCCTAAAGAAGTAAAGAATTTAGCTGAAGATTTTCTTAAAGATTACGCTCAAATCAATGTCGGTTCTTTACAACTTTCAGCAAATCATAATATATTGCAAATAATAGATGTATGTCAAGACTATGAAAAAGAGAATAAGTGAGTATAAGAGTTTCGAGTGTTTTTGGCTTTTTGTTCAGTCTCTAGTACAGCAGTTATTAATATTAATAATTAATAGTTATTAATAAGTTGTTAACAATTATACTAGCAGTTCTAAAGAGAGTCATCAAATTTTATAGATTAAGTACTCTATTGAAAGAAATAATGGCAGAAAGCGAGAATAAAACCATAGTATTTATTGAAACAAAGCGTAGAGTGGACGAGATAACGAGGAAAATGAAGCGCGATGGATGGCCAGCAGTTTGCATTCATGGTGACAAGACGCAACAGGAACGAGATTGGGTTTTACAAGGTATATATGAACGCATGATGCTAAATAAATTATTTGCAAAGAAAATTTCGAAAAAAAAATATTAACAAAATGTAAAAAGTGTACAAGTACATCTGTATAATTTCATACATCTGTAGATTTCAGATCGGGCAAAGCACCAATCCTTGTTGCTACTGATGTTGCCGCACGCGGTCTTGGTAAGTTATTCAACGTTTTTTGTTATATTATGACGCAACGATATATTGTCAGTTTTTTTTCCTATTACATGGAAGACAAACTGATTAATATTCACGGTATTAATTTCAATTCCCCAAAATTATAATTTTTTTCTTTTTTATGTACAATGCTCTATTCTGATCGAAAATTTTTATCTATTAGTGTAATGTTCCGTTAAAAATTTATAATGAAATTGTGTTTGAGAATCTTTTCAAGAATCTTGTGGTACACCAAATGTGAGTTAATCTTGTAGCAAATTAATTAACAATAAGTCAAATTATACATATATATATATATATATATATATATATATATATATATATATGATAATGCTGAAGAAGTAATAGAAACTAAATATGTTTGTTACAGTTGCATAAGACTCTTGAGTCCTTGCTGCAATCATATTAGATTGTGACGTCAGAGGTAGGAAAGCACATGCTGCAAATTTTTAGATGTCATTTTTAAATGAAAAGATATGAATGAATCACTACTTCAGATGACTTTAGCACACCTTTAAAATACTTTGAAAATTATTCTTTCCTCTTGGCACTCAATCAACAACTATAAAATGATTGTGATATCAAACTTTAGAAAAGAATAATTATCGAGATATTTTAAGAATGTGCTAAAGAAATCTAAAGTGCTGTTTCATAGAAATATCATTTTATTTCAAAATCGCATCTAAGAACTTTCTCTGACGTCACAATCTAACATAGCGGCGAGGAGTCGGGAGCCATAAGAAGTCTTAATCAAATTTGCATGGCATATTATTACACGGAACATTACAATGTTTTTAACGCGTTGTAATCTTGAAAGAAGGAAAAAATCAATGAGAAGGAATAGGGCAAAAAGAAAAGATATTGAAACAGGAGGATGGTTGGAGGTAGCCACACACAGCTAACGCGGTTGGATCTTTGTCTGTATTGCAGAGGCACATTGCGCGCAGGCCCACGCCGGGTAATGCAAAGCATGTCGGGGGTGCCCGCCGCCGCTCTTTGTTCGGTGGTGCACTGGTTTGCATTGTCTGCGCTGGCCGCGACGCCGTGCCTCTATCCGTCCGTCAATCGCGTGTGACGTCCGGCCGAGTCCGGGCCATATCGGATGTACCACTACTACTCTACTACTACTACTACTACTACTTTACCTACCTACCTACATTCTGGATATCAGTCCTACTGCGCTGCGCTGTACGCCATCCGGGCTGGCTGGCCAGGTCGTTGTTGCCAGAATAGAGTCCCCTGCGCTGGCACGCTCAAGCTAGATCAGACAACCAACAACGTTGGTCCGTTGAGGCGGTGGCATGTGATAGCAGATATGCCAGAGCCTCTCTTAGCGCGCCCTGCGCCTGTGAGCGACAGAGTGGCGGAGGCAGTAGCTGGAGCGAGCGCGAATAGCCAGGCCCTGCCCGTACGTTGCTAGCGAAACACTCGCCCACTGCCTAATATATTTTAGTATTATATAGTTTTTACTTTTTTTATCAATTGACATTTACACATACTCTATACACACACACACACACACACACACACACATATAACACTATACGTACACGTATACGCGTATATATAAGTACATGTATGTATACATGCGTTTGTCTCTTGTCTGTGTAATTGTTAACTTGTTACTGATAACGTTTGTTAAATTGCTCGTTTGTCTATATATATGTATACGTATATATATGTATACGGATATGAACGCGTAACACTCACCTAAAACTTACCCATCACTTTTATGTCCCTTTAATTAAACAGTACGCATTCTATATATCCTCTGCCCCTTTCATTCCTGAGATGACCAACACCATACAGTCGCATTTTTTTTATCATAACTAACTACTGTACCATATACGAATTTGTCACGATTCTGAATCTCTTTTCTAGATATTAGCCTATGTTTATTGCAAAAAGACTTTAAATGTATTTTATAATCTGTTTTCTCTATTTCTTTAAATTATAAAATCAAATTATTGTGTAATGTTTAGGAAAGGAAGAACAGAATCGTGTTCGGTTCAACAGTTTGTTTTTGTTTTTATACTCTTTTATAGTCTTGTGCTCTAAACATCATATAAAGATATTATCTCTCTTTATAGAAAACCTAAGACTTATTAAAATCATATCAATATACTTTACGTTCAATTTTGTAAAATAAATTTTCGAACGCAAGAAGCAACGCAATAATATCCGGATTATTACGTGGCTTCTTCGAGAGCGCATCGAATGTCGTATAATTTATCGTAATAAACCGTCCGTTAAAAAAGAAACCATTCAAGACCTATTTCGACACGCGGTGTTTCACAATCCTTGCGACACTACTACTATATCTTAACCCATATCTGTCCTGAACACTGGCATCCCATGAAGAGTCGGGCCGGTCTAATGCCAAATCTTAATTTCAGACGTTGAAGACGTCAAGTTTGTCATCAATTTTGACTACCCCTCCTGCTCCGAGGATTATGTTCATCGGATCGGTCGTACCGGTCGTCGACAGAAAACCGGCACGGCGTACACCTTCTTCACGCCCAACAACGCCAACAAGGCCAACGACCTGATACAAGTGCTGAAGGAAGCTAATCAGGTGATAAATCCGAAATTGTTGGAGCTCACCGATTGTAAAGCTGGTGGATATGGCAGAAATAGAGGTATTTCTAAACAGATATCTATATATATATATAGAAAATCTATATTCAATCTATGTATATTCCCGGGAAAAACCTGGAATTCTCAGGGAATTTTTTTCTATCTTGAAAAATTCTGAAATAGTCATGGAATTTATTTTGAACTCAGGGCATTTTTTTTTAAATTGCTCCTTTCATTTTATTTTTAAATCTACTTTTAAAGAATATAAAATTTATCAGGTTTATATAAAGTATATTAAAATATATTTTATTATAAAATATAGTAAAGTATAGTATTATATATATTAAAAATAATTTTATTTGTGTTAAAAATTATGTATAAACAAAAATAAATTTAATTTAAAATTGTATTTAAAATTTTTTTAAATACTTTAATTTTACTTGGAATTTTGAACAAAAGTACCTGGAAAATCATGGAATTGATTTAAGATTTAAGTATACCTGATATTGCTTAAGGTTCAAGCTCGTCTAAAGACGGATTAATGTCGGATTCAGGTGCAAGAAACCGATGGCGATCTCGAGGCGGCGGTGGCGGTAGTCGCAACGGGAAGGAACGCAGCTACTCGCGAAGCAGAAGTCGAAGTCATAGCAGGGAAAGGAACGGTCGTAGCAGTCGACGAAGCTACAGTCGTAGCTACTCGCGAAGTCGTAGCCCCGTTAGCCGTAACGGTAAGAATGCTGTGTCAACTATCGAAAACCTATCAAGGACTCCTGGACCACATAGTACCTGGACTTCACGTTAATGAGGGCTATTGCCGAGTTAAGAGACCAAGATAGTCTAATGATAGCATATACTTGGTTATATTGGTCAATATTGGTGAAAAGATAGGGCGATATATACGCAGTCCATATACTATATAGTCTAAGCTTCTGGATCCTCGACCATGTTAGATTGTGACGTCAGAGGCGGGAGAGCGCACGCTGAAAATTAGTTAGAATAGTTTTCAAAGTATTTTAAGAGGGTGCTAAAATCATCTGAAGTGCTGTTTTATCGAAATATTATATATATTAAATATTATATATAATATAATACGTGTATATATATATAATATATAATATTGTTATATATGTAATATTATATATATAATATTATATATATTAATTATATTTTATTAAAAATATATTTTGAAATGGCAGCTAAGAATTTTTAGCGTGTGCTTTCTCGCTTGTGACATCACAATCTAACATGTCACAGCGAAGGTCCATCAGCAATCTTGGGTCACAGCGAAGGTAGTAGCCTGCAATCTCAACAAATTTTTTTCTTTTCTCGAGAGATAGGCGGCGTAAATTTTTTTACGTCCTTACAAAAACATGTAAACCTTGGTATTACATGGGTAATTGAAACCTGGCGGTTTCAAAAACGAAACATACGCTATTCGATAAGTTATTTATGAATACAATGGGATGCTATTGTAATCTTGCGCATCGATTCGCATCCCATCGAATCGAACCATCAAAAACTGGCGCCAGATTATGCGAGCATTTGTGATTAGTGAATGAGCTTAATTTAAGAAATGTGATTATTAAATCTGTAATTCGTTATTCGCTAGGAACAATTTTTAAATAGAGGCGAATCTGGAATCGCGAGCGACAAATTTTTGGCGAAAGTACTATAAAATCTATGAAATAATCTCGCGCCAGTTTTGTCAACTTGCCGTATAATAATATTTGATAGTTTGCCGACCACATTTACACGAATCTCTTATGTCAATTTTGATATACCGATATCGTAAGATGATAAGCTTTTATGCGATTCACGCGTATTTGTAAGAATATTTAAAGTCTACTTGGACAACAAGATATTTTAATGGCTATACTCACACTTGTTATACAAGTAGAATGTGCTATCATCTTTTATTTTCCTTTTGCAACTTGTCTGCCGCATCTAATTTTTCCCCTCTCAAAAGTGTTATCTTATATATACCATATTTAGATTAGATATAATAGACGAATTACAAATGTGAAGTACCGTTTGTATGTTTTTTATAACGCTCTATTTCTCGTACACTTTTCCAGTAGTAAAAAAAAAAAGAAAAAAAACAAGATGATGTAAGCGAACGGGTAAATCTAATCATTATGCAAACTAAACTTCCAGAATGTAACGATGTTTAATTTAGTATATGTATAAATATACACATTTATATATATATATACATATACACTATATAAACATTTTATATACTGTACATACATTATATATGCATACATTGTATACACATATACGTAAATATATGTGTAATGTATGTGCATATACATGTATATAGGATTATGTAGTGTATATATATATACATATATAAATATAGAGAGCATTAATAAGTAATTAGTAATTATAAATGTCTAGCGCTTAAATTTGTAATTTATTCGTTTGTATTTAGACAATGTAACAAATAAATAATAATAATAATAATTACACTCGATATACAGTATTTTTACCAACAATACACAAATAAATTCATAAATATGTCTAAATTACATTACTCTATATTACAATATTAACGTCTACGTTCATTTAATTATTTTTCAATGATTATATTATTTTATCATTATCAGTAACTTACCTGCGATGTACTCGGCGATGATGTATATCCGCAAATGAAAAGCGTCATTAATTTAACAAAATTAAAAAAAAAAGTATAATAAGAGTCATTCGTCATAAGAAATCCTAATTGTAACAATTGTACTTCGTTAATTGCGTACAGGGAAGAGTAAAGCAACGAAAAAGAATGACTCATGCGTAGGATCGAGTTTTCGCCTCCGTTCTGTTTAATTTAATTTGTATCTTAATTACAATGATAATGCTTAAAGGTTTCTTACGGTAATTTTAGAATACCGAATTCCGTTTGTTGTTGATTTCTCTCAGCCTAATGTGTGCAGCACCGATCTTCGCTTATTAGCTTCCTCCGGTGGCCGATGCACGTCGACAGGAAGTGATTAATGACTTACTCAACCAATATAAGATGTACACACCGGTGTAATTGACGATCTAATGTGATTTTACGCTGAAAAAGATCCCTTTTTCTTTTTTTTTTCATCGGACTATGCGCCACGATACAAATTTATTATGTTACACATCTTGGAATATCGAATGCTTTTGCACTCACGAATCACAAAACACATGCAATATCATCTTCTTCTTTACGTTCTCGCTTGAGAGTCGAGATTGTGTGCCGTCGTTCTCTTTCGCCAAGGGAGGACACAACAATCCTTATTACGATTATTATGGACAACATGGTTTAATATCCGCTCGTCGATACTTATCCAGGACGCGAGCGCGGTTTTTTTTTATTTAGGGGATTAATTGAGACGGTGATCGACCTTGATCGCGATTACGGCGAGGAAATCCTCGGCAGTCTCGACGGAAAGTTAGAGGCACCCTCGAGTAATCGAGAAATTTCTACCTACTTAATTATTATAGCACAATTTTATTGTTGGATTTCAGAGAACTAGCTTTTTCATATGTTGTAACTAATCTAATGAGCTGTAATAGCCTCAACGTTAAATAATGAACAACAGATAGCATATCTTCGTCTCTTTTTTTAGAACTTATCAAAAAAGAGAGAGAAAATATGCTACCTGTCGGGTAAAACTTACCAAGAAGTTGGAAAAATCAGCCCTAACTGTCCATTATTTAGTTTTGAGCTATATTATATCTCCCAAGTAGGAAATGTCATTTCGACGTTTAATGACGTCATTCGACGTCAAATGACATATGTTTGTTACAAAATCATTTTTTCTTAACAGGTCATAGACTACAATAAATGCATATAAAAAACCAGCTGATTTAACTCAAATCTATTTTACATAAGATTATAGTGCAGGATATTTTATCGCGTCTTACAATTTAAGAATCCTAAACATAGAAGGTGCGTCGTATTTTCTGCCGAGGACCAGGAGGAGATCGCTCGTCGTTCGTCCGTGATTGTAAGAAAAACGATATACTATACCGATGTCCCACTAATCGTAAATGTTAACGTTAAAGTGCGATTTTTTTTTCTTCGTGTACTCTTCGCAAATGTAAACGTGCGCGGGATAACGCGAGAATTTCTTTCGTGTGTCTATATGTGTGTATACGTGTGTTCTCTCAACAAGCTCCTCGCATATGAGTTTTATTATTTTACTTTTTTTCTTGGGGGGTAAAGGAGGGATTTATTTTGTTTTTACAGAGGGCTCAGCATGCTTCGTTCACATATATTACAACGTACGCATATAACAATAACATTAAACCCTTTAGGTGTGTGTCTTCGGACGTGGGAGAGAGCTATGTGTGTGTGGCGCGCTTATAATTATATTTGCGATACAACGGGATCTCGTTATTCGTGTGTCGTGCAAGGGTCATATATTCACGTGTGTATGTGTGTATTTATGTGTATGCGCGCGCGTGTGTGTGTGTGAGACGCTATGTATTTTTTTCTTCGGTGTGCGAATCGATCTCGCCTGGACTCGAGTGACTCCAAGCAAGCGAGTGACAAGTGTGTGAGGGTGAAGTTTTACACGGTCGTCCCTAACTTCCGGTCACCGGCAGCAACCTCCTCGATTCACACGAGATGTGTGTATATAGTCTATCTCTATTCATAGGCATCTTTGTTCTTTAGCGAGATTTCTTAAAGCTCTTGGCTCATCCTTACCGACCATGTTAGATTGTGACGTCAGAGTAGGCGAGAAAACAATACACGCTAGAAATTCTTAGATCAGCGTGTACACTCAAATCTTAGAAATAAATGATTTTCCAGGTACTTTTGTTCAAAATCCCAAGTAAAATTAAAGTATTTAAAAAAATTTTAAATTAAATTTATTTTTGTTATACATAATTTGTCAACATAAATAAAATATTTTTTAATATAATATACATGTAAATATACTATTTTAATATACTTTAATAAATTTTATATTCTTTAAAGCTATATTTGAAAATAAAATCAAAGGGGCAATTTTTAAAAAATTCCCTGAGTTTAAAATAAATTTCATAAGAGTATTCCAGGATTTTTGAAGGTGGAAAAAAATTCCCTGAGAATTCCAGGTTTTTCCCGGGAGTATACACCCTGTAGATGACACTTTGAAATATCTGTTCATTTAAAAATGACACCTAAGAATTTTCAGCGCGCGCTTTCTCGCCTCTGACGTCACAATCTGACATGGTAGCGAGACTCCAGGAGCCTATAAGGAATCGAGGAGGATACGCGATATCCGGTGACACGTGCCGGCGCGTGCGTGCAGCAGATTCGATGAATATTCTATAATTAACGTGTCAGTCAATTGTCCGCAACCGCTAAAACAGCCGGAAGCCCCGTCTCGAAGAGTCAGCGGCTTCCAAGAGGGAAGCGAATCGATGATGGGAGACGAGACGAAACGTTGTCGGAAGCAATCGTTGCTCGGTCGCTCAAATCAAAGGCTAAATTCGAAGGCTAAAAATCCTCATTTTCACGCATAGCATACGCAATCGTGAAGACAATGCGGGGGAAAAAAGACGATTTCTCGAAGAAAGACAACTTCTCGCTCTGCCGTCGAACTCTCGCGTAGATGTTGTCGGAAAACACGAGAGCAAATTTTTCCGCAGCGACTCGCAACACTTACGTGTAATCTCTCGATCGTATTTTTTCGCGCGAAAAAAAAAGATAAAAAAAAAATGAAGTTTAGTGCCTCGGTGCACGACGCGAAATCGTTTTTTATTGTGTCACGTTGATGAAAGACACGCGGAAAGTTTCATTCAAGCGATCTACTGTGTGTAAAACAGCCTGTAAAAGCTCTCTGTAAAAGATTTCGCGACGATTTAAGTCTCAATTTTCGAGCATCATCCATCCGAGATTCGCTAAATACATCAGACGTGCGCGCGAGTTCTATACGCTATCGAGAGAGATTCGATTAACCGATGTACCTATATATCTATATACATAGATCTCTACGAGTAATCGTTTCGTAAATACTGGCTTTGTGTCCCTTCGAGTCTCTAACACGTACAGAGAGAGAGAGACATCTCTTAAGTATACACGGTGTCGCTCATTATCCCGGCTCACGCGGAAGCCAGTAATATATACCGGGTGTTTACGCGCAAACAACGACACTCTATCATATCCGCAAGTCGTAGGCCACGATATTCTAGACAGAGCAAAATTCAAAATGAACCGGACAGAATGGAGAAACAAAGACGCTCGTCGTCTACATCGCGCCTACGAGATCTAATTATTCTACGTAATTCGAAAAATCTGAGCAAAATAATTAAAAAAAAATCAGGTATCTCCTCCGATTATTGCTAACGATGTTTATACGCACGATAATACACTGCACGAGTATTAATTAATTATTCATCTACTTAAATTACATGCGGCGCTTCAGATATTACATCTCACGCACAAACGCGCAATCGATTCTAATGTATAAGGTGTTCCAGATCTACCGCAGAATCGATTTAATGACAGATTCCTGAAATGTCGAGCTATCACTGTTTGCATGTTCCCAATTTTTGTCATCATTTATCTTTAGAATTTAAATTAAAATTCTATCAAAGTAAACTGTATCTGAAATTAACTGAATGTGTAGTTTTGTTAATATTTTTCTAGGCGGCAAACCGACATCATTAAACGTCAAAATGACATCAGTTTGCCACCTGGAAAATATTATAACAAACCCTTTATTATATCGCTTATAACTCGAAAATTATTGGTGCTTCGACATTTTCATTCTGACGATGAGAAAAAATTATTTTTTAATAATCCTAGGAATCAACAGGTTTTACGGTAGGTCTGAGACCTCCCTGTATATCCGGATTTCCAACAAGTATGAACGTTAGTCTGAATTGCGCGAAACAATTACAGAATTACGAGTCGAGAGATTACAATATGCATTTAGTTTCAGAAGAATGATGAGGTGTGCTATCGTTCCAATATAGCGAGAAGCTGACTTCCTTCTTGAAAGGATTCAAACGCAAGATTTTCGCAGCTTTGTAGCGCATGTAGAGATATTTCTCGGATGTCGGAAATAATTCCCGTTCGCGATTATTCGATTTTTTATTTTTTATCACGATTTCGATAAAGAGAGAAATCTGCCTAAATAATTACTTAGAAGTAATTTTTCACTTGAATCATGTGTGACGTAAATATAAACTCTCTCGCAGCTTAATATCCCTTATAATATCCCTTTACGATAATATTTTCGAAAAGTGCGGCGATTCGTATTATAAAAAAACACAGTCACCACTTTAATAATGACATTTGTATCTGCATTTACGACGATTTCCGCTTTCGTTTCCATATATAATACGCGTGATCCCGGAGGCTTGTTACACCCAGAGACCGATCCAGCTTTCGTTTTCAAGACAATATATCCTGAAGACTCACGACATTGATATCGAGTCGCGTTTTAGGGCGAAAAATTGTAATTGTAGAAAGATGGTGAGCTCGTCTCTGAGTACAACACGGTCCCACAAAAGCGCGAGACAGTTACTTCTTCTTATATGCACGCGCGTAGTATACCGATTGCACGAAGTAAAAGGAAGATACACGAATGGGGGAGAGGAAATGCGGAAGGATGCTGATCAAACGTGACTTCCTAATAACACAACATATCCGAAAGATATTCAGAGGATATCCAGAGGACATTCGAACGCCCTCAGGATGTTCTCTGAACGTCTTCGGGATATGTGTGCCCCGTTAAGGGATTCAACCCAGCAAACACAGTATATAAATGTTATATACTTAAGCATGTTACATGTAACGTATATGTTAGTTGTAATTTCCCACTCATAGATGTAACATTTTTAATATTACATATATTAAATTGTAGTTATATTGTCATTATATCCCAAGATAGCACTGACTTATCAATACACCAATGTGCTATTTGGTATATAATTACAATATAACTACAATGTAATATATGTCTGATCCTTCCGCATTTTCCTCGTTGACCACCGAGTACGTAACAGGGTGTGCTCTCGTCGAGGCTTCACCGGGGTCGCCGTGTCGTCTCTCGCTTGAGGGTAGCGTCGAGTTTCAAAAAATACAGCTATCGTCCGCACCGCGCTTTCCTTCCCTTCGTACGATTTTTTTTTGTTCTCTGTGTGAGCACGTTTCTCTGCGTCTTCTGTGTCTTCGTCGTCTCCTCTCGTTCCGTCCGCGAGGTCGACGACACCGCAAACTCTCCTCCTTCGACGGGGTAGAGTAATAAGTCGATCGGGGATGGTTTCTCACGCGCGGCGTCGCCGATCTCTTCTGAGCAATATACGTGTGAGAGAGCCCCGGGGGCGTCTTCCTTCTCCCTCTGGGCGACCGACCCGGGGCAGCGGAAAAAGGAAATACATCGTTCGCGAATGTTGCGCGCGACGCGATTACTCCCGGTACTCATTTCGGTATCGCTCGCACTCGCGTCTGCGCGTTAATCTTTATCCGGGCCTCGGATTATCCTCGTGAGAACAAACAAATAATCGGCTGGGTCTAGTTCGTTCATCATCGTTTCTCTGCAATTCGCTCAAAGTATTTACGAATTCGTTTCAATTGATCGTTTCGGCGAAAGCGTATATCAGCTTTTCTTCTTATAGGAAAAAGATTCACCCGGATAAGGATTAAAATTGGCGATACCAAGGCGTCTTGTTTATCACTGACGAAGGAGAACAGGTCCACTGATGATTAAATGGTCGAGTTTTCTCGCCTGCAATTTTATTTTCTTTTCTTTTCCATATCTTTTTTTACGAGATAAATAGAAAAAATACGATAACTCAAAAACACGTCAAAGTTCCTTGGTACCGCTAGAATTGATAAACCCGCCAGCTCATACCAGCAGGTGGTTGCACATGCGGAAAACCATCGGAACGTTCGACGCCTCTATAGATATATCTCCCAGTATTTTGCAGCGTCAAACATTCCGACCGATCCTCCTGCGCAATATTAAGAAGGGGCAACACGCGGCGCAGCGAGGTAACGCAGATCCGTTCCTTTGTTCTTTGGGAAACGACAAACGTTGCCGATGCAAATATCGTTTCACGAAGAAATCGGAGCGCGATCGTCGTTAACGCGACGCGACGCGTTCATCATCTTGCCTCTCCCTGGGTTTTTACGGTAATATTTACCGGATCGTGGAACCGTCCGAACATGAATTCGCAACGACGGACGTGTTCGCGGCCTGCGCGTCGAAGAACGAGCTCGCTCGCTGGACGACGCGTCATCTCACGCAACGTAGATATAATTATACTTATAAATTTTACGCTTTTTTTTTTTAATTGTTAACAGGCCGTGGCTATACAGGGCCCACTACGCTTTCAGTTCAGTATGTGGCACGCGGTCTTCCGAGCGGGTCATGAGGTACGGTGTATGTATACGTGTATTAAATGTGTAAAGTGTGCGCGAGTCGTGTGTGTTGCGTTTATTTCTTATCATCCTCATCGTTTCTTTTTTTTTTTTTTTACCCACCGTCGTAAGATATTCTATCGAGTATCGCCAACATCCTCGTTACGCCTTGGATGATCCTCGCTGCTGGAATATTTTCATTTCGGGCGCGGACAGTATAGTAGAGGAAATCTCTCGTCTCGTCAAAGTGCCTCTGGTCCTTAACATCGATCCTTACACGTCGCGACTTGATGATCTTCGTCGATGTCAAAGACGCGCTTCTGATTCCGTCGCACTTTCCTCTTCTTCTTCCTCACTTCTTGATGCCCATGTTTTCTTCGCCGCGAAACAGATAAACAGACCAGTACGCAAAGTTGAAGAGAATGAACATGAGGGGGAAGGCAACGCGCGCGAAGATGTCAATCCTCGCGCTGCCCTGGGCACGGCAGGTGAGCAGTTTGTGCGGCAGAAACCACCAGCCCTTGCGCGACGACGCCGTCGTCGGGTCGGGCGGCGGCGCCGCGGATGACGTAGCCGCGGTGGAGGCCACGATTGGCGGCGAGGGCGTCGCAGCGCGCGACATGCGCGACGGCGTGCCCAACGGCGACGCCGAGGAGGCCGGAGAGGACCATCTCGACGGCGAGGGCGACGACCTGGCCGAGCTCATGCGCGAATGGTGTCGCAGCGGTCGCGACGGCGAACAGTGCTGGCCGGCGACGCAATCTTCGTCGTTTAGCGGCGAGAAGGACGGCGACGGCGAGCGATCCGGATGATAACGCTGATGACGATGCTGCGACTGATGGCGACGCTGCGGCTGTTGCTGCTGATGGTCCTGTTGGTACATCCGCGGCAGAGAGTGATGCTGCGATATCGTTTGATTACCGCCGGCACGCTGATGACGCTGCTGCAACTGCTGATGGTAGTGATGATGATGATGGTGGTGGTGGTTGTGGTGGTGCGAAGGATTCTGAGGAGGAGGATGATGATGATGATGATTCTGAGGGTGATTGTACGGCTGTCGGTGACGAGGACGCGAACGTTGTTGCTGAGGCGGTCGTGTCTGTTGGAACTGTTGTTGCTGAGGATGGCCGCGAGCCACTTCCCTTGTTGATCCGAGCGCTTCCTCTTCGTGGTTTACTCGCCCTCCTCCTCCTCCCGGAACAGGTACGTGGACCAGTACGCGAGGTTGAAGAAAGCGAATACGATTGGGAAGAAGATCCGTGAGATAACGTCGATGCGCTTGGACCTCGTCGGGAACTTGGACAGCCACGACCTGCAGCAGTTTTTTTTCCGGGGTTGCATATGTATTTCGCACTGCCGCAATTTATCCATCGACATGGAATCCTCCGGGTGTCGGACGAGAGGCTTCTGAAAGAAGTCAGGCGATATTGATCCACTACTTGCTCGGACTCCCTTTCTCGATACAAAAGCAATTTCGAGTCTCTTCACTTTGCCAAATAACAGAAATTCTTAACTCTATAATCTTATTTCGATCTACGAATTTTAGACGTTGAACAAACTCGACGTACGTGAAAAATTCAGATCTCCAAGTCCAAGTTTAGGCAACTCAAATCTAAACTCGGCTACAAAATTTAAGAGATCTATTTATAATTTTAATATTATATCCTGATACGATAATATTGTAGCGAGAAAAAAATTATATAAAGTAAGCAGGACACACTTTTAAATTTTATTTTGTTTCGAAAGACTTTCAGAATTTTCAATTATTCTCCACTTTTTCTCGCAACGTACGAGCAAATCGAATAAGATGCCGACAGAGGAACGTTGGAATAGAAGCGACGGCCGGAGTAAAAGCACGGGGACCATCTCTATAAAGCATCCCGAGCGTGTCCGGAATCTCGAGAAACGTTATCGCGTGTATATATATATACCTATCTCTGTTCCTGGCATACTGACCATGGCGAAGTTGGCGGATCCGTCCGGCTCGAGCAGCTCCGAGGATGGGTCGATCGACGACGAATGCTCCATTTCGCTCGGCGGGAACTGCTTCTTCATGTTGTCGCTGTGCATGTCGCTGCGCGACGCGTAGTTGACCAACGCGAATTCGAGTAAAGCGCCAAACACAAAGGTCAAGCACACCCCCGTCCAAACGTCAATGGCCTTGGTATAAGAGACCGGTGGCAGTGAGGCGTTTATCCCTGATGTCTGCGTGGCCATCGTCAACAGTGTCGTAACGCCTGAAGAAGGACAGATGTTAGCTCCGATGACGAGAGAAGAGAGTAGAATCGTAATAGAAAGGATTCGGAGAGTAGGCAACACGGTTGCAAGGTTTCTCCTTGTTTCAGATCATCGTTACTTTGATTATTTTGATTATTCTGCGAGCGAAGGACCTCGCACAATCCTTATGGAAATTGGATCTAGCTGGATTTTTCATATATTTTTGGCTTGTGACGTGCTGAACAAAAAATATAATAGCTTTAAAGTTAAATAATGGATAGTTTAGTCAAACAATTCGCGAAACTCAAAATTTTCGTATTTGACTAGCAATAAATCAGTAGCCATCTGTTATTTAATTTTAAACCTATTACATTTTTTGTTCACTAGCTGATCTTGCCAAGATTTAATTTTACATAATTACGAGGTTTTTGAACCTATATGAAATCCTAGATAAAATTGAATTAGCTGATTTTCTCACATATTATAACTTAACTTGCTAAATTTGGAGTCAATCAAACATAAACAATTAGAACTTTGCTAGTTGTTTAATTAGCTATAACTTGTAACTATCGAATATTTAGCTTTGAAGCTATTACATTTTTATCTTTTGTTCAGCAAATTATAAGTTACAACATATGAAGAAAAAAAAACCAATCAATTTCACCGAAAGTCGAATCCTATGGTCCTTTAACTTTAACAGCTTTGGAGAGTCTACTTTAATCTCTATCGCGCGATGATTATAAATGCTTCATCCTAAATGAAATTGAATTAATTGATTTTCTCACATATTATGACTTGCTGAACAAAAATGTAATAGGTTCAAAGCTAAATAATAGATGATTACTAATTTGGAGCCAATCAAACATAAACAATTATAACTTTGCAAGTTGTTTATTAGCTATAACTTATTGATAACTATTGAATATTTAGCTTTGAGGCTATTACTACATCTGTATCTTTTGTTCAGCAAATTATAAGCTACAACATATGAAGAAGAAAAACAATTTCACCGAAAGTCAAAATCCTACGTATTCGGTCCTTTAAAAAATTCGGAGAGTCTACTTTAATCTCTATCGCGCGATGATTATAAATGTTTCATATCTCGTTACCAACATTGCGTTCTCGACCCTTGTAATTCTATACTCTTGTTATTGCCAAAGAGTCGCCAATAAATATGTAAATGAGCAATCAAAGTTCTGCGTTGTCCGATAACACGAGTCTGGACACGAACGCCGCGCGTTTAGATTAGTCGTGATAATTTGTACCTAGTGACACTCGGGCAGGCACGGCGCTCTGATCCAGCCAGAAAGACACCCAGGACACGATAACGAGCATGCAGCACGGGATGTAGATTTGGATGAGATAGTAGCTGAATTCCCTCTTGAATAGCAGGTCCACTTTCAAGCAGCTGTACTCTCCTGTATTGTTTTTTCACATCCAATAATCTCGTCAGATTGCATTAGGGTTTTCCTCAATAGCGTATTCTGAATTATCCACAACGAATTCACTTACCGGTGTTCGTTTTGCTATTGCAGTAATCCGTGAGGAATTTCTCCAGGGTGAACCTGGGTAGATGTAAATTCTTCACCACTTGAACGGGATCGCCTTCCTTCCAGAGAAAGACCAAGTCGTCCGTCGTCCATCCGTCTGTCGGAGAAGGGAAAGTAGGCCAAATGTGATTATTATTTACGCGTGTGATCGCGATTAAATTACAATTAAGGCTCCCGACCGACCGTGTTGAAATTGTGACGTCAAAGGTGAGAAACACTCTAAAAATTCTGTGATACCATTTCGAAACGAAAAGAAATATTTTGATGAAACAACACTTCAAATGGCTTTAGCACACTTTCAAAATATCTCGAAAATTATGCTCTTTCTTTTACAATCAATCAACAACTGCAAAATGATTGTAATACGAGGCCTATAGTTCGTCCGGTCTTTGTGCATGCGCAGTCATTTCATGACAAAGTCCGATATAATGATCATTTTACAGTTGTCAAAGAAAAAGAATAGTTTTTGAAATATTTTAAAAGTGTGCCATCCAAAATAGCGTTTCATCGAAACATGTTTTTATTTAAAAATGATAAGAATTTTTATCGCTTCTGACGTCACAATCTAACATGACGAGGATTCAGGAGCCTCAACTGTCCAGGTAGCAAACTGACGTTATTCTGACGTCAAAATAACATCATTAGACGTCAAAGTAATTAATGTCATTAAATGTCAAAATGACGTCATAGGCGTCAAAATGATGCCGTTAAACGTCAAAATGACGTCATAGACGTCAAAATGACGTCATTAAACGTCAAAATGACGTAGGATTGCTACTTGGGTGATTATCAACAGATTACTTACAACTGGCCATACGAAGTGAGCAAACTTGTCGATCCAGGGGATACAATTTCAGATTCATGGGGCAGGAGAGCGTCAAGGATATCCTGCGCCAGGGCAAAACAGCTTTACACATGTATAATGCTCTCTCTCTCTCTACAGGGTAAAGGGGCAAAAAAGAAGAGAGAGATGGATCCAATTCGCGACGTAACGAGGGAACGTATGCGTGTTTGTCACGATCGCACGGTACACAAGATAGATCTCCCCGATGTGTACATTAGCGAAGCGAATTTCACAACATTCAATTGTACGGAGAATGAAACCCCGGACGGGTGTAATGTATTCCAGTTTATATCGGAGCGACGTGATTTAAATGTCGATCGAATAAACTGATCGAAAAAAAAAAAAAAAAAAACTGTCTGCGTGCGATGTTTACCGAAAAATAACGAAACGGTAAAAATAAAAGAGCGCGTTTTTCATGCGCGTCGATCTTTTACAAAAATGACGTCATCGCTCGTTGATTAAACTGACTCTGACGGACGGGTTTTTTTTTTTTTTCTCGCCGGAGGGGAATCGGATACTCACCGTATGCTGTAAAGAACCGAGCCGTTGGGAAAAATTCGTATATATACGTTCGGCATAATGATATTGTGGAAATGACCCTCCTTCTCGTTTGAGAAAAACAGATCCGGCATCCAGACCCTCGACGCCTCCGTAAGGGTTAAATATTTAAGTTTACCTGCAACGGACAAGGCCGACCATTTTTCATTCCGCGAAAATCGCTCTTTGGTATGCGTCGCTCGTTTGAAAGAAAGAAAAAAAAACCGTACGGTTTCGGGGGTAAACACGCATAAAGAATATCGCACGAGCGGCAATTTAGGAAAGCGAAGAGGAGCGAGAGATAAAAGTGGCCGCATCGTGTTAAATTTGCGTAACGACCGCTGCTCGTCGAGAATAAAATGTTATGACTCGCCCTTTTACGCGCGATATGAAAAAAAAAAAAAAAAAAAAAAAAAAATATGAATGCCCTTTATGTACATGCGGAGAGATTCTCGCATACACGTACCTACCGAATTATGCGATTCTGTATCGCGCGCGATGATACTTTGGCATTTGTTTAAATGAAAAGTGAATGAGATTTGGTCGAGCTATTATTTTGTAACTTTTTATCGCGAGAAACGGTTTTGGCAGAGAATACATTCAGCATTTAAAACTCTATTATATATATATATATATTCCCGCGCGATTATATTAATGTGTTATTCTTGTTGCGGATTTACACGATTATTGTTCCCATTTTATCGCGCGTAATCCTCATTAGCGTTGAAATATCAATATATCAAAAGTATTATCTCGGAAAAAGAGTGATTCCTGAATGTAACCTATTTTGTGACCCTCGAAATTCGAATCGAATTGTATACAAATCGCATACTAATTGTGTACTAATTCGAATCGAATTTGGCGACATTAATCTCTGTAAACTTAAAGTTGAGCGTAGGGGTTATTTTTAGAGACCGCAAAGTGGCCAAATTCCAATAAAAATTCTTTGATATTTTGTGAAATTAGTAGAATTAATCAGAATTGTTCTCTGATCATCGTGCTAAAAATTTAATCCCTCTAGCCGTTGTTGCTTCATTTTTTCAAGCAGTAAAACTACCCTCAAAACAATTTTTAGTGAATTTCTCGAAAATAGATATAGATACAAAAAAATGTTTCCAATAAAAGTGGTTTGTCTTGATATTCTGTACTAAAAAGGTTTACTGTACTTTTCTCGTAGGATTAACCCTTTAGCCGGAAACCGCGTCTAAAGAAAGATTTTCTGAAAAGGAAATCTTCCTCTAAGCGAACTATTGTGCAGATTTGTTCAGCTTTAAATTTTTCAGAGATTATAATGTTCATAAAATTTTATTCGAATTTCAAGGGTCACAAAATAAGCCATAAACTGATATATTATGGGATCTCTAAATTAAGTGTATAATTATAGGGTGTTAAATAATTAGATCGATAAACTTTGAAGGGACAAGAAAGACTCCAAATTAAAAATTGTTTGTCAATATTATTTTTCTCTACTTAATTTTGAGGTCTTCCATTTCCCTTCAAAATTAAACCGACAAATATTGTTTAAAAATGTGCACGTACCTCCAAAGTCGTCAAATTGTAATCTCTCATCCAACCATTGTTCCCGAAATGTTAATTGTACGGAGTATTCCTAGAGAGAAAGAAAAAATTGCAATTAAACAGGGTCCCACGTGAGATGGCGACGAGTTGTTTCCCTTTCTTCTTAACCACCCCGCGAGCTATGGTCTTCCCAAATTAATAAAGTTTCGTAAAGTAAAGAGGAAAACCAACGTGCGAGACGTGAAATGAAAAGCTGCAAAGTCTAAATCGCCAGAATCTCGAATCGGATGGCATTTATAATACGGCAAGCCCAGTAGTCGTCGTAACGAAAGAAGAAAATGGCTTTATGCAAATGGTGGCTTTGCAATTTAACGGAAGAGACCGCGCGAAGCTATAATTACTATTTTATTTTTCACTCAATAATTATCCTTCTCGGAAAACGTGAGTTTTCTCTCTCCCCTGGTGTATCCGAGTAATAAAATAATATCTCGACGAGGGAGAGAACTCGATAAAGTTGAATAAATGAGAAAATTTATTTATAACGATCAATCGTTCCCCTTTTCTAGTGGCGATTTTCGGTAAAAATATACTCTCGCACTCGTAAAAAATTATTATTCGCACGTTTCGCGACAAAGAGAGAATTTTTCTTCTAACATTATCTCGCGAACGTCAAATCGATCAATTCTTACCGTGAAGCAAAGATCGTTGATACAGATATGGATAATAAAATTATACAGAAGGATATTTCTTCTTTTTTATCAGATATTCGAATGTTCTGACTCCTCGACTCATCATTATCGTTATCAGATCAAGATGCGTACTCGTGTACTTGTCATTTGTAATTTCAGAGCAGAATGTAAAAAAAAGAAAAAAAGAAGAAAAAACTATAACTTTGTTTGGGTCATTTTCTATGTCAGAATGGAAACATTCTACGTGATTTTAATCTACGATTATAAAGATTGACGAGGTCAGCAACATTCGTCGATCTACATCTGCCCGATTAATCTCCCTTGGAGTCATCGCGTATCGTCGACAGGTCGATTCGTCACGGATCGAAACCGGTAGCACATCCACATATATATATAGAAGGACGTCACTCTATCGACTTTTGAGTACGACGTACGTACACGTGTCAATCCGTGACGACGACCATCTATCAACCGCGGTAACATATATGTGTCGAGAAATGTGTATCGTCGCGGCGGATAGAAGAGACCGGAAGAGCGTCCCAGGAAGAGAAGAAAATCGAAAATACCCTTATAATGTGCATTGGAGACCTATAATAAGAGATTCGCCGCTGCGACTCCCGTCCGCCATCTTGTTCATCCATATTGATGACATCACGCACGGATGTCTACGCGATCGTGTCGATAATATTATTTTGTATTACACGTGCAGGCAAAGTGGCACTTTGTGTGCGTGTTTTCTGTGCGGAAAGCGGCCGATTTCCCACGCTGCTGCGTGAGTGAATAAGCCGCATTCAAAGCCATTGCCTACGGCTGAGCCGCGTTCAAAGTTATTGTCCACGGCTGAAACCGTAGGCAATGTATTGAACACGGCTATTTCCGCACCGTGCCGTCGCAAGAGGGCGGCGTGCGATCGGCCACCTAGCGCACAGAAAACGCGCACAAAGAAAGCCACTTTGCCTGCACTTGTAATACAAAATAGTATGTGTATCACGTGCGGATTGACAATTGTTTACTCGTGACCAATTGTCAACTTTCCGCACTTGATACACAATATACTATTAAATCTTTTTCTTATTTTTCTAGCCTGGTTGTCTAAAAAAATGCAATAGTTTTATCATTATTTACAATAGAGAAATAATAATAAAAGAATTTCCGAATTACATTCATAACCTCAACGCGCAGCAGACGATTTTATCAATGAACAAAATGGCGAAGAACAAACCATTGACCAATCACGAACGTGTACTTCCATGACGTGTATCTCTTAATATAGGTCTCTAATGTGCATTATTGAGTAATGAAGGCATCCGGGGACGCTTTTCCGGTCGTGAAGCGATTTTCATGCAATTTCGAGGGCGACACAAAAGCGTCGACAAACCGGCATCGGCCGGATCTGTCGTGAAAAAATATATACTCCAAAACATCGCAATGCAGCCAAAAAAGGGTCGAGGCGGGGGTGGAAGCAGGGGTAGGGAAGGGAAGGACCAAGGTGCGAAGGGACGTAAGAGCCATGCAAAAGCGAACATCGAAAAGGGGGACCTACCGGAATATATATATCGTAATGGTCAGATCGAACGTCAGAAATATATATGTCACGGGCACTACAACGCAATCTGTTTAAAAGAAGCGATAAAGAGAGAGAACAACGCATGCAGTTTGGCTCACGGTGTCTCGTGTTTTCTCCGGCTCTCGCCTGTGACCTTTTCTGCCCCCGGCGACGAAGTCCCGTGCCCTGTTTCCTATTTCAGAGAGGGTATAAAAGGGGGAGTGCGCGCTTCCGCTTGGATATATATATGTGTGTGTATTTACACACGTGTGTACATGTATACAATACATATATATGTTTTCTTTTTATTCTCCTTTCCTCTTTTCCGCTCTTTTTGTTTCCCTCGACCTACCGACCGCCAATTTGTATCCTTCGTGTACGGTGGTGTTTTTTTTGAACGTGAAAACATTAGGTTCTCCCCTTTTCTTTCCTCCGTCTCGGGCTCTCGTAGTCTCCCAGTTTTCACCCGTTCGTGTGTGCGTGCGTGTATGTATATACGTGTATATATATTCTCATCCGGCTTTTCTCCTGGCTAACTCTCGTCCAATAAACGTCCGGGTTCCCCGTCGTTAATTTCTTTCGGCGGTTTGCTTGCTCTCGCACCCCCATTCGTTATTCGCACGTATTTAATAAGTTTCTGAAGAAATCGACGACGAACGTTGTGCCGTGAAAAAAACGAGGAGGATTCATCGACCACCTTCTCTTCTCTCGAGCTTCATTTCTTTTCGTTTCCTTTTCTACGTCGCTTACAGAGGAACATGAGTTAAAACACCGTTTTGTAGTTTTCAAGATACTTATCCTTCCCGTGTTAGATGACGAGACTATAGCTCCTTGAGACTGTAAAACAGTATTACCGCGGGATATGTTTTCACTCTTTTTCTTTTTTTTTTTCGAGATAAAAACGTCGCTTTTGTTCGCATAAAAACATTATCGTCGAAATATGCGAACGAAAATCAAAAGGTGGTTCTATCAAATAGAGATGGATATATCTTACCTTATACAGAGCTCTACATCGACGGAATAAATCGCCACTAGTGCGACAAGACCTTTTGACATTCAATTTTTATTTCAAGGGTCGACAATGATACCTAAAACGAGCAGATTCTGATTGCCGGGATCACATCGCGGCAATATATATTTTCGTGAAAAAATCTCGAACGCGTGCCTCTCTTTTTCCGAAAAAAAAAAAAAAAAAAAAAAAAAATCAACCAACCATTCGAATCGTAAAGCACACATAAAAATCGAAATAAAAATCGTGTGTGTGTGTGTATGTATGTGCGGAAAATTTGTGTACAATTTGTAGCCCTTATCAAACATTTTTGCAAAAAAAAAATTGCTTGCTCTCTCATCATTCGCATCATCGAGTAGATCTACACCCAAATGACGATGACATAAATTAATATATATATATATATATATATATATATATATATATAATTTTCTGTCATAATACCAATAACAGTGAGATATATAATACATATCGAGGGAGAGGGGGCAGCTTCATACAAATCTTTGGCGTACAAAAAAAGTCTACATATACAGTGAATATATATATCTCAGTTTTTACGCTATACAAGAACAAGTGCAAAGCATCCACAAAATTGTTCAGTGTTCTATATTGAAAAGAAATAAAAGTAAAAAAAAAATCAAGAAGTGAAGGTAACCGCACACAGCTCTCAAATTTATACGTCCAGCAACGATCCTCGCCCATAAGATCTAATATTACGTCGGGACGCACAACGAATTCCTGATTCTGTTGCACCGTAAACACTGTTACGCGCGTAACAGCTGGGACTCGTAATTTTTCATTGGCTCTTACCTCCAGCAAAGCCGCCGCTCCAGATAGCCATTGAGCTCTCTCTCTCTCTCTCACTCTCTCTCTCTCTCTCTCTCTCTCTCTCTCTCTCGCTCGCTCGCTCGCTCGCTCGCGAAATTCTCGAGTTTACGCGCAAAGGCAATACGTTTGGCGTTTAGCCGACCATTTGGCGAAGCTTCCCCTTTTTTCTATTTTTTTTTTTATTTCGATCGTCGCGGAAATGGCGATAGTTATCGTCCCCGGAGATATTTTTAATGTGTCTGGGATACACAGACACTCGCTCGGTGCGAAGGAGAGCACAACTCGATTACGCGAAGCGACGAAAGGCTAATTGGTCTCGAGTCGAGTCCTCGATCTCCCACGTGCAAAACGGCTCTCGCTCGAGCGACGAAAAAGCACACATCGTCCTTGTTGTTCCGGCAATTGTCCTGATGGCAATGGGATAATGGGATAGCGCCGCGAAAAGTATCCTCGCAAACCCTCCGCAGACCGTATTAACTTTATTATCCTCATTTCTTTAACACGTTCGTGGGCACCCCCGTGAGAAAACGGGAAAACGAGCGATATAATATTGTTAATCCGCGTTTAAATATATTTCCTCCTCGTCGTAAAATAAAAAGACGACGTATAATTTTACAGTTCACCGTGATACCGCGAGGAAAAAAAAAAAAAAAAGTAGCAATTGCGAGAGGAAAAAATGTCCGTTCCCGAATCACGTGTTTCGCGCATTTAAATTTATTATTTATTGTTCTAGTTTTATATTTAACCGCGATCGCTAAACAACAACACTCCCCGTTCATCCAACTTGCGCGATATTTCGCAATTTTCCCTAATAGTACAACAGATCCGAAAGGTATTCCAGAGGATATCCGGAGGACATTCGAACATCCTCGGGATATTCTCTGACCGTCTTCGGGATATGTGTGCTGTTAGGATTGTCAGGTCACAGAGGGTTTGCCGAAAAATTTGGGATTTTTAATACTATATGCCAATCAGCCTCACGTTGTTGAATTATAATTTGGTTTCGCCCAAGTGTGCGA